CCCACCTCCATCTGCATCTGGTGTTGGAGTCCGGCCACGTGGGCAGAAGCGCCCAAAGGCAGAGGGTGAAGGGGAACCCACAAGCCGGAGTCCCCAGCACATTTTTTTCTATCCGATGTTTGTGGGCAGGAAAATGCACCTTTCATGAGTCAAAGAGCAAATAGAAGGTAAAGAAGCCTCTTTTTATGGGTGGTACGGGTGATCCTGTTTGGGAAAAGCCGTTGCCAGCCCCAGGAAGCTTCTGTCCCGAGCATGTTGGAAATTATTTCCCGGAGACCACCTCAGTGACTGCGCCCTGCTGCTCTCATCCTTCGGTTCCCCGGACTCACAGCTGCTTCCTTAGGAAAGGCGTGCACCCATTAATTTTAGGTAAATCATTATACAGATCTTAAGTGTATAATGTGATGAGTTGGACAAGTGTAAATACCCATGTAACCAACACCCCAACAAGGACAAAGGCTGTTTCCATCACCCCACAAAGTTCCTCGCCTTTTCCCAGTTGGTCCTCTCCTCACCCCAGGCAGTGATTGGTTGATTTCTATTAATGTAGATTAATTTTTCCCCTTTTTTGAGTATTATTTAACTGAACTAATACAGCATGTACCTTTTGATCTGGCTCCTTCTGCACAGTATAATCTCTGAGAGATTCGTCACGTATGTATATCAGGAGTTTGCCTTTTTGTTTGTTTCTGAGTAGCATTCCATTGTAAAAACAATGGTTTGAACAACATAGAATGATGAACAAAAACAGACTCAGAGAAAGAGAGGCACTGAACAGACTTTCAAACCTCAGAGGGAAAATAGGGGAGGGTGGGGGTAAAGGGGAAGAGATCAACCAAAGGACTTGTGTGCATGCATATGGGCCTGGCCAGTGGCCATGGACAATGCGGGGTGGGGGCATATGTAGGGAGGGGCTTGGGATGGGATTGGGGGGATGAGGACAATTATGTGATACCATAATCAATAAAAAAATGGAGGGGGGATAAATAAATAAATAAAATGCCACACACACACACACACACACACACACAAGCTAGTTTTGGAATGGAGAGGGAGAAACCCACTGGGCTCTACACTCGGCATGAGTGTGTGTGTTTGTTCACCTACGCTCCCACCCACTCCCTCAGTGCCAGGTGCTGCTCTCCCTGGGTGCAAAGATCAGTCAGAAGTGGGCAGGGAGGACAGCAACCAGGTAGGATAAAGGCGCACGCAAGGAGATGCAGCTGAAATATCCTGCTGGCTTGAGGTTGGGAGGCCGAAGACGGTTTCGGAGAGGAGGAATGCCGTGAGCATTCCAGGACAATAGGGTTCAGAATTCTCGGAGAATTGGGAGCAGGAGGAAAAATGAAGCACAGGAGACCCCACAGACAGATGTTACAAAATTCACTGCTTTGCAGCGACCCCTCAACTGCAGGCCTGGGACCAGCAGCCTGAACCTGCCAGGCCGCTGGCATCGTCTGAACCAGTTCAGGGCCCAGAGCAGGGGCAGGAGGGAACTAGCCAGCAGCACATCGGGCCGGGGGACAGGGCGGCTGTGTTAAAACAGGTCTATGCTGCCTTCTGGCACTGGCGGTGTCCTCCTGCCAAATGCAGTTGGTCTCCTGGGCTAGGTCTGGGAACAGCTTGTGTGTTTGCCCCACCTTCCTGCTGGGCAGACAGGCCACATGACTGAGGAGCAGGGGCTGGGCCAGCAGGGGCAGTGGGACGCCTTCTGCCTTCTTTCTGTGGCTCCTCCCCTGCTCCCTCTATTTCTCCTCCCCCTTTAGTCCTCTCCAGTGAGGAGCTGAAATGGCTGAGTCTTTGGCAGGAAGCAGTTGACACTCAGGGACACAAGTCACTGAGTTTTTGTGTTGACAAGGGCCTTCACGTCCTGTGCCCGCCTCCCCCTAGGCCAGGGCAGCCTGACCTTCAGGCCTGCTTACACCCAGCCAGGCAGAGGGCAGGGTCACGGGATCCATAGAGTTGGGCTATAGCCAAGAAAACAATAATAATTCCTCACCTGGTGATGGCAGAGCACTTTGTACTTTGTCAGACACGATCGGGCTTGCTGTTTTCTTCAGCCAGCCAGTGCTTGCCAAGCACCTACTGTGTGCCAGGTTGTGGAAGGGTGAATGTGGTAAGATCGATAGCTTTAAGGAGCCTGTAGGCTGGCTGGGCAAATGTGTGAACAGATACATGTAAGAAATGGTGGGGCAGCCGAAACCTGTTTGGCTCGATGGATAGAGCATCGGCCTGCAGACTCAAGGGCCCCAGGTTCAATTCCAGTCAAGGGCATGTGCATTGGCTGTGGGCACATCCCCAGTAGGAGGTGTGCAGGAGGCAGCTGGTCGATGTTTCTCTCTCACTGATGTTTCTAACTCTCTATCTCTCTCTCCTTTCCTCTCTGTGAAAGATCAATAAAATATATTTTTTTAAAAAGAAAAGAAAAGAAATGGTGGGGCAAGTATGTGTCAAGTACAGACCGAGGTCCAAGAAGGAAATGGTTGATTATACCAGGTATGTTGGGAGGAGCTTCATAGAGGGGACTCAGCGGGGCAGAAGGGGAGAGGTAATTTGGGGTGGATTGGGGGGTGCATTCTAGGCAGAGGGAGCAACTTGAGCAGGGTCAGCAGCTGGGTGCAGGAGTCTGGATGTGGGTGAGGCAGTTATGGTGGATGAGACAGCTCAGGCTGCTCTAACAGGTACCACAGGCTTATATGCCACAGACATTTACTTCTCACCGTTCTGGAGGCTGGAAGTCCGAGATCAGTGCACCAGCAATGTCGGGTTGTGGTGAGAGCCCTCTTTCAGGTTGTAGGCTGCCAACTTTCACGGTTTGCCCACGTGGTGGAAGGAGGGAGGGGACCCTCTGGGGCCTTTTTTTTTTTTTATAAGGGCCCTATCCCATTAGTGAGGGGTTCACCTTCAGACCTAATCACCTAATCCAAAGACCCCACTCCCAACACCATCAGCATATGGGTTTGGGGGGTGGGGGGAGACATAATACCTGCTCTACAGAACACGGCCAGAGGCAAGGCTGGAGAGGTGGCAGGGATGGACCTCAGAGGGCCCGGAAAGCGTTAGGAGGTTGGACTTGAGTCTGTAGCAGTGGGCACTCCTGGAGGGCTGAAAGTCAACCTGGCAGGATCGCCCTGGGAGCCATGTGCGGGATAGATGAGAGGGAGGCTGGAGGCAGGGAGGCCAGCTAGGAGGCTGATGTGGCATCCTCTTGAGAGGTGGGTAGTCAGGGAAGGGAGGGGAGGACATGGTTATCAGTCAGACGGGGTGGGGGGAAGGGATTAGAGCAGGAGAGAGCTGAGGGTTCTGTTCTTACAGTTCCTTCGGTCAGTCTACCTTGAGCACCCAGCACATGCCATGTCCTGTGAGGGGCACAAAGATGAGAGAGACTGGGCTCTGCCACTGGGAACCGGCAGTCTGGGACAGCCCCCTCCAGTCGGGTCTGTGCGAGTTGCAAGTGACAAAAACACAATTTAAAGTGACTTTGACTCAAAAAGAGGTTGTGGGGAGGGAGGTTTATAAATTTCGAGGGTAGAGTTTCAAGCAAGGTGCTCAAATAGTGTCCTGAAGAACCAGCTCTTTACCATTATATCTCACCTTTACTCTTGTAAGGGCATCATTGATTTTCTTTCATGTCTAAGTTTATTCAATCTTTCCTGTCTTAAAAAAATGGACACAGATATAATTGTTTTCCCTTACCACAGTCACTTCTAGTAAGTACAGCAGTGCTTTCCCTTCTTGGCTTCTTAGATTTTTTTGTTTTGAGATTTTTGGATTTTTTGTTTTGTTTTGCTGCAGCACTCTGCTTTCATTTTAATTTTAAAAAGGGTTTAATTGTGGCAAAGAACACATAACATGAAATTTACCACCGCCCTGGCCAGTGTGGCTCCGTTGGTTGGGTGTCATCCGGTGTATCAAAAGGTCGAAGGTTCGATTCCCAGTCAGGGCACATGCCCTCGTTTCGGGCTCAATCCCCTGGTAGCTGGCATGCAGGAGGCAGTTGATGGATATTTCTCTCTTTCTCCCTCTCCCTTTCTCTCTCTCTAAAAATCAATAAACTAAAAACAACAACAGGAACATATTAACCGTTGTTCAGTGTGCAGTTCAGCCGTGTTCACTGCATTCACATTGAATTACAGGCAGGCTGTGTAGGCAGGCTCTCCCCGGCATTTCCCGGCTGACCTCTTCCCAGCTCACCAAGTCAATGGAGAGAGAGACTTTCCCAGGATCGGTTCTTTCTTGGCTCAGACTGGGCCGCGCGCTCCTCCTTAGCCACTGACGGTGGCCCTGAGGGTGGGTCAGCCGGCGTATGAGCTGCCCTGGAGGAGGAGTGGGGTCATCACCCTTGAACCACGCAGGCTGAGGCTGTGGGAGGGGTGCTCAAAGGGGAAGCGAGGTGCCGCTGTTGAAAGAATGGGAAGTGGAGGCACAACCAGCAGATGTGCATCGACTCTCGGCCCATAAGACCTGGGTGCAGATCACTTAGGCGAGATAGAAACTGGCTCCACGGGAGAGGGGCGTGTAAAATGCTGCGTAACTCGAGCATCCGCGTGTGCTGGGGATTGTGGATGTCCAAAGAGAACCACATTCATCCACATGGAGCTCCCAGCTCCTAGGGGAGAGGAGCTGGCATAAATAACCACCCTACAACGCAGGCTGCCTCGGGGTGTGGATGTTTTCTCCCAGTAACCGGAAGGAGGGTCGGGAATGGTTCCTGGAGAGGCTGGTCTGGAAGCATAGGTAGGAGTAGGAGGTGGGGGTGTCACAGTGTGGTTCCCCATGAGGGGCATGGGTGCCTGCTGTCTGCCCACCGCTTGATCCCAGCTGCTGCTAATACCACCATTGCTTAGCCCCCCTCTTCCCCTCCTCGGACCTCCGCCCCCGCTGGCTGCTCCAGAGCCTAGGTCTCCTCGGTGGAGCCCACCCTGGGCCCCGTGGGAAGGACCTGGAGTCCGGGGGAGCCCTGAGCGGGGCAGGTTTGAGGTACTCTCCTCCTCCCGCAGGCCTCTCCCTGGAACGCCTCCCCAACTCCATCGCCTCGCGCCACCGCATGACTGAGAGGGAGGAGGAAGTGATCACCTGCTTCGAGAGGGCCTCCTGGATCGCCCAGGTGTTCCTGCAGGAACTGGAGAAGGTGAGCCGGGAATTCCAGCACCGGGGTCATAGCCGCTCCTCTGTGGAGAACCTAGATCTCACATTGGGAAAATTGGCCTTGCACGCCTCCAAAGACACGCTTTTAGACAGCAGGTGCGATGGCAGAGTGGATGAGGATTGGCGTCCTGCGGGCATTCTGCAGGAGGAGGTGGTTATGAGCTGAGAGTCTTCGAGCCCAGGAGACACATGAATCTCACTCACCTACCTGGGCAAACGTCAGGATGTCAACCCAGCACCCGTGTGTTTTTGTGATGGAGCTTTTTGGCGGAGTCCTCCTGGGGCTCAGTCTCAGCGCTCTTGACATTTGGGGCCAGATCATTCTTGGTTGTGGGGCTGCGTTTTATAAAATGTTGAGCAGGACCTCTGGCCTATACCTACCGGATGCCAGCAGCCATTTTTGGTTGAGTCACACACACCCCCCTCCCCCCCCCCCAGCTGAGAGGCACTGCCCCAGAGTCCCTCTCCTCCATTGGACTTTGGGAGGAAAGGAGCAGCGATTGAGGCGCTAGCAGAGGCAGAGCCAAGTGCATTCCCCGGCAGAGGTCCTTGGGGAGGCCCAAGGGGCCAAACTGACCTCGTGAGGTTGCGTGGATCTCTGCTAGCCAGCAGCGTTAGGTGCTCTTCACATTTGAGTGGCATGGGGTTTGGAGGAAACGTTCATAAAAAAAAAAAAAAAAAAAAAAAAAAAAAAGTCTCTCATTCAGCCAGAAGCCTATACCTTGACTTTAAAAAGAAGATGAAGTTGATGAGCTGCAGTGGTGCTCAGGCCTGGAATCAGTGCCACGTTGAGGAAGGGCCAGCCAGGGAACCCTGTGCATTCTCGAAAATGCTGTGTTCCTCTGGAAGACCCAGCCCCCACCTCTGAGGAGCTGAGAACATCTCTTTATTTTATTTTATTGATTTTTTACAGAGAGGAGGAGAGAGGGATAGAGAGTTAGAAACATTGATCAGCTGCCTCTTGCACACCCCATACTGGGGGTGTGCCCACAACCAAGGTACATGCCCTTGACCGGAATCGAACCTGAGACCTTTCAGTCCGCAGACCGACGCTCTATCCACTGAGCCAAACCGGTTTCGGCTGAGAACATCTCTTAATTCATTTTGATTTCTGAAAAATAAGGCGGCTGGCTCATCGATATTTTTATTGGATCAGAGAAGGGAAGTGGCATCATGAAGGCAGGCCAGTCGTGGTGGGGCTGAGAGGCTTAGAGCCCTGTTAATAAGGACAGCTCAGTGAATAACATATTTGTTCCTCAGCTTTTCTGGAACCTGGGGGGCCTGCCCTTGAGCTCTGTGGACGTTTCATAATTGTTTGACAGGGACAGTGGGGGGGCCTGGCATATGAGAGGCACTCGGGTGTTTGCTGAATGAATGGACCAATAAGTAGTAGAAATAGCCTGGAATCGGTAGCTGGCCACACCCGAGTTTGAGATCAGGCGCGTGCCAGCTTTTTGACTTTAGGCATTCTCTGAGCCTCCGTTACCTCATCTGTCAAATGCAGACAATGCCAGCTCTGTAGGCCTGTGGTGGCATCCGGCATTCGGGTAGGGAGAGGGTGCTATGGACATATTGTCAATGAAAGTGAGTTGGGTTGGATTTGGCCTGAGAATCGCACCGTTCCCATGGGGAGGACCCTCAGCACCGATGACAGTGGCTTTCTCTCTGTTCCCTTCCCAGGTCGCTAATAACACCACGTCGAGGCACCTGAAAGGCTCTCACCCCGTGGACTACGAGCTCACCTACTTCCTGGAAGCTGCCCTGCAGAGCGCGTACGTGACGAACCTGAAGAAGGGGTAGGTCACCGGCAGCCGCTGAGTGGGACGCAGAAGTTCTTCTCTGGGCCGGGTGCTCATGACGGCAGCGGCGCTTAGTGTGGCCTCCCTCTTCCCTGGGTGTGTGTGTGCCCTGGAGGGAACCCGTGGGGCTGCTCACATGGGTCACATCAAGCCGTTCCTAGTGGGGAAGGGCCGAGATTCGGGAGCAATAAAGCCTGTACATGCTTCGGGGAGAGCGGGCCTCTGTAGACGGGAGAGAGCAGAGGACCGGACACTGGGCCTTGGGTGTCCATTTGTATCGCTCTCTGGCACCTAGGGTGTTGGGTGAAGTCATTTCGCTTCAGTTTCAGAGAGACAGTGGCCCAGAGGGCTGGTTCCTGTTTTTTTGCTGCCCCAGAGGCTGGGCCTGGCTGCCTCCCTCTAGCTGGAGACTGCATTGCCCCTCCCCCGGGGGAATCCTTAGTCAGCAGCGGCAGCTCAGGGATGAATGGGGGATGCGAAGAGATGCTGCCCTCGGCCCCTATCTGCAGAGATTTGGGAGAAGGGGCTGCCAAACCTCTGAAACCTGTTTTTGCAAATAAAGTTTTATTGGAACATAGCCATACCCATTATTGACATATTTTCTCACCCACAGAGCTGAGCAGTTGAGGTTGAGACCCTGCAATGCAAAGCCTAAAATATTTACGCTCTGGCCCTTTATAGAAAAGAGTTTGCCGAGTGTAAGAAGCCCTCACTCCCGAGGCCTCTTGTCGAAGAGGTGCCCTTCTCCTTCTGCACGGGAGCCCCGTAGAGTCAGTTTTGTGGGAGGGGACAGTTCTCAGTTCAATGTTCTGTCCCCTTGGTTCGTTCGTTCATTCATTCATTCATTCATTCAACAACTATTCATTACACTGACACGTGGCACTTATGAAGTGCTGACTTTGCTCCAGGTACTTAAGCGCTTTGCTTGCATGTATATTTAATTCTCCCAACAGCCCCCTGAGGCAGGTGCTATTATTAGCATCCCCGCTTTACAGGTGGGAAGCGGAGGCGCAGAGAACATAAGTGACTGTCATGTGTGGAGCCAGGATTATGTGTGCAGTTTCTGTCGGATACTCTTAACCACTAGGCTACCCTGTTTTCAGCAGAAGCCCTGGGGTTAATAAGACCCTGCTGCTCACAGCCTAGCATTTATTCCCCTGAGTGTGCTCAAGCGTAGTGGGTGTGGTCCCAGCATCTGGTTCGAAGAGTTTGGTGGGTGCCCTCACCATCTAGAGCAGTGTTTCCCAAAGCGTGGTACGCGTACCCCCAGGGGTACGGGAAGAGTTTGGTGGGGGTACGCGTTGCGCTGGAGTTTGGTGGGGCTATGCACTGCACCATGCTAATTCTACGTTCTCATGAGTACGAGGGGTACTCAGCGTTATGAAAATTGTAGAAGGGGTACACATATGTCAAAAGTTTGGGAAACACTGACCTAGAGGACTTCAGGACAGGGCCCGGGAGATGAAAGCCAGCGATGTCCCTGAGCAAGTTCCTCTGTCCCCCGCATCGTGCCTCCAGCTCTGCTTCCTCCCCTCTGACAGGGAGCTTCTGGGTGAGGGTTCCAGAAGAAGGGGGGAATGAAAAGATCCCTTGAGCACCAGAGGCATTACAGTTAACACCCACTCTGCTGAGGCCCACCCCTCAGGGCTGCCTGCTTCCTGTCCCCTCATCGCCTTTTCTGCAGGCGCCATGAGGCTAAGGCGAATGCCAGGGTGGCCGGGAGGGAAGAGGGGAGAAGACCAGCAAGTTCGAGCACCTGCTGTGTGCCGGGCTGGACCATGCGATCTGCACAAGGTCTTGTGACCTTACTTCACTCGAGCGGGGACAAAGGCTCAAAGAGGTTGGATAGCTTGCCTGACCTCACCCCCTGGGATTTCTGCTTCCGGTCTGAGTGGCCTGGAAAGCCATGCCCTTTCCAGTTTGGAGTGAAGAGGGGCAGCCTGAGGGGTGTGGGGGAGGACAGGAGGATCTGATGAGGGTTCCAGTCTCAGGGCTGATTCTTGGTATGCTGACCGGGACTCTCACTGCCTCTCAGGCCCCGAGTTTCCATTTCCCAAGGGGGTGGCTCCTCTTCCTGTAGCTGGTCCCACACCCTCCTCAGAGTGACCCGTTTCCTGTCTTCTACATTCTGCACGCTCAAACTGTGTGTGCCTGTGTGCGTGCACGTGTGCATGTGTGTGTTGCCAGCAGTGGGCAGAGGCATTAATCAGCCATCACCCTGCAGGAAACCCCAAGTAATTTCAGTTACTTTTCCGTTCCTGTCACTCTGCTCCCCTCCTTTCAAACTCTTTTCCTCCTGTAGCACAAACTAAGTCCTTAGTATCAGGATGCTGACTCCTTCCCCCATCCCCTCCCACCCTCTGACGCCACCCTAATAAAGAGGAATGGAAATTGAATCATCGTTTCTTTCCAAGGGAGCAGCCCAAACTTCTGGTTTCCTGGGGCCACATTCCACTGAGAGGCAGCCCCAGAGTGTGGCAGATACGTAAAGCAGAGGTCCCAGCCCTGTGCCCTTCATTATTTATAATAATGGGCTTTCATTATTTCTTCACGATTTTCTCCTCAGTAGTAGCTAATATGTAATTGGTCAGTAGTTTCTGCATGCCGGGCAGCGTGCTGTGACGTGGGCACTCGTAAATCCCCGTTTTCCTGAAGGAAGGAGATGAAGCCACAGGGTAACAGGTGGTGTTGTCAGCAGGTCTGGTGCTGACCTGAGTCTGAGGAGGCCTGTCCTTTATGTGTTAGTGGCATCCCTGTTAGATACCAGTACCTGCCTGCCTCACCCCAAAGTGTAACAACCAAAAATGTCTTCAGACATTGACAGATGTCCTGGGGTGAAGGTGGGGGGACAAAATCGCCCCCCGTTGAGAACCAGTGTCTTAGGCGAAGGTGTGAGAAGCAGAAGGTCAGGGGGAGATTGGGACCCAGACACCCGCATGGAGTCTTCTCCTCCAGGGCAGCTCTGGAAAGTCCTTTAAAGGGCTCCAGGCCGGTGTGGCTCAGTGGTTGAGCATCAACCTGTGAACCAGGAGGTCAGGGTTCAATTCCCAGTCAGGGCACATGCCCGAGTTGTGGGCTCCATCCCCAGTGTGGGGGGGAGTGCAGGAGGCAGCCAATCAGTGGTCCTCTCTCATCATGGATGTTTCTCTCTTGGTGATCTGTGTCCCATTTTGGGACATGGGGAGACCTCTGCATCCTGCTGGGGAGAACATGCTCTTCCAGCCTCTGAATGCACAGCCTGCTTATTGTTAGCACCCTGCCTCTCCTCTCCCTCTCCCTCTCCCTCTCTGAAATCAATTAAAAAAAAAAAATTTAACAAAACAAAACATACTTGGTTAAAAAAAGAGGGGAGGGAGGGTGCTGCAGGCCATTTCCTGCTGGTTATATCCCCCCCCACTTACTGGATTCTTTGCTGCGAGGGGGAGGAGGGTAGAGGGGGGATGGCGTGCATCCACAGGAGTCACGGCTTAGTAGGGGGGTGGGGCTAAGGTAAGAAAGCCCAGAGAAGAGCCACAGTGTGCCAGGCACCCCGCCTGACTTGGGATTGGAGCTGGGAACAGGACACGGTCCCCCTCTATGGCGCTCACATCCCATTGGGAGTCAACAGTGAAGGAGCCAACAATACTGGCCAGCCCACGTTGTGCTAGAGAGGAAAAGGCAGGGAGGTGGGGGCTGCTGGGCAGGTGGACAACTAGGACACAGTTCCTCCCGGGCCCAGTGGAGTGGAGCCAGGAACCAGGAGCAGCGTGGGTACTAGAAGAGGTTCCTTAGGGCCTGAGGGACAGGAGAGATGGTGGGACCTGCTTCTGGGTGGGCATCAGAGAGCCAGCGCTCATGCCTACCTGGACCTGGGGAGAACCCAGCCCCCAGAGGGCCCGAGGCAGAGCCCCTGCCGAGAATTGGGAGACCAGATGGCCACAGCAGTGCCTGCTCCCGGGACCCAGCCCTGTCCCTCCCTCTGGGATTTGACATAACTTAAAGGGTGTGGTGTTCTCCACTGTGCAGAGGGGGTGACGTCTGCTGGGGCTGCAGGCAGCACTTTTATTCTGAGCTGCAGCGAAGCCTGGGCCTCCCCCGAGCTGCCCGGTTACTCATTCTGTGTGTCTGAGGGACGTTCATTTTTTCCAGGGGCCTTGCCCTATTGATCCAGCAGTTAATTCCCCCAGATGACTCCTGCCCTTGCTCTGTGGCTGGTGACACAGAGCCTGATTGACCCGGAACTGTAAATGCTGTCTTGAAAGGACCATTAAGAATTGGGAGTTCCCCCTCCCAAAGGGCAGGGTCTGAGATGCCTGGCATTCGACTCCCCTCATGGCCACCAGAGGGCAGCCGTGGACTCTGGTTGGAGCCTTGCCCCAGGCAGTTCTGAGAATGCCCGCTGCCAGGAGGGGGCACCTTTCTGGCATGTTCTTGGGGAGGAGGGAGGGAGGGTAGTGGTAACTGGGCCCAGGGCTCTGGCTGCGGGGGAGGCTTGGTTTTCCTTTGCAGGAAGTAGCCCCAGGGGGCGAGGCAGCAGGGGAGCTGGGGCAACACAATGCCCTGGAAGCTGACTGTCCCTCCCTGGCCTTGACCTCGAGGACCAAGTCTGGGCATCTCCCAAGAATAAGAACATGAGCCCAGTTAGCCCTTTTCCTCCAAGTGAGCAAGGGGCCATTTCCCTCAGGGCAAGGGGGGGGGGGGTCTTTTTTCTTCCTTCTTCCCAGCCTTGCAGAGCTCAAGGCTGGGAGTGAGCATAGGCCCTGTGTGTTCAACCAGGTGGGCTATGTCTTGTGCATGTTCTTTAAAAAAAAAATTTTTTTTTTAATTACAAAAGCTACATGTGCTCATTATACCAAAACCAAACAATAGAGAAGGGAGTGTGTGTTTTCTAAGGGAGTTCCCAGGAGCTTGGCAGGTTGTTCAGCCTTATGAAAGCACTCTCCCCTTCTGCCGTGGGTGTGTGTATGTGTGTGTGTGTGTGTGTGTGTGTGTGTGTGTACACATGTGTGCACGCTTCACCTTGTCAAGTAGGTGCTAAGTTGAGAAGCAACTAAGGCAGTTAGGGCTACAGATGGTTATGCGGAGGCACCTTAGAAAACCCAGCCTGCTTCTTAGTGACCCTGTGAGGGTGGTCTTCAGTCAGTTTTGTCTTATTCTCAGCAGCCACCCAGTATCTGCAGTGCTGGATGGGGGGGGGGGGGGGCGGGGGAGGAATGAGCATATCACTCTAAGGGGGAATCACTCCAGAGTGAAGCCCAGGAGAACCTCTTGGTGGTCTGTGTCACATTCTGGGGCTCAGGGAGACCTCTGAGTCCGCCAGCCTCTGAATGCACAGCCTGCTTATTGTTAGCACGCCCTGCCCCGCCCCCACCTCACTAGAAGGAGAGAGCCCCTTGCCTGGACCTCCTCAGTGCCCCACAAGGGGTGTCACAGCCTCTTTCTGAGTGTGAAGAGCGGAGCCTTAGTTTTTAAAACTAATGGTGTGAACAGCTTGATAACCTTTGAACTTCACCCGACCTTGCCTCCGGAACCAACCCTCCTGCTGTTGGGATCTGCCAGCTATCTGTGCTCTTCTGAGCCTTTGAGCGGAAACCTCTCACATACCGTTTGCAGTGCCAGCCCTGAGACGGGACTTCTGGCCAGGGTCATATGCACCTTGTCTGAACAGGCCATAAATTCCAGGCACTGTTTTAGTCACTGTTTCAAATCAAACTAACACCCCTCCCCCCCAAAAAAAAAAATTTTTGTGTGTGTGTGAGTATGGATTACTTAGTGTATGCAAAACAGTTTGCTAAGCTCTGAATACATCAGGAGCGGCTAATTTATGACAGACTGAGCTCCTTCCACATAGGGCCAGGCGTGCGATGCTCAGGACCCTCTCTGAGCTCATCCCACCGGTATCTGTGAGGTGCCTGTTGAGAACAGGCCTGGTGACCAGGCACTTTGCAAAGATTTAGTCAGTTGTGAGTCTTTGGAGTTCTCATGGCTGGGGAGGAAAGGTCTTTCTCAGGTGGGCTATGTCTTGTGCACGTTCTTTAAAAAAAATTTTTTTTTTAATTACTAAAGCTACATGTGCTCATTATACCAAAACCAACCACAATAGAGAAGGGAGTGTGTGAAAAGGGCGTGAGTGAAAAGGCAGTAAAAGCCGAGCCTCGTGGTGCCTGTGGTAAGCCTGCCTCTCCCCTTGGGGGGCATGGTAGCCTGGAAAGGCAGGCATCGTCCAGGCTTTCATGTTCCTGCTGGGAAATGGGGGCTGTTTATTCCATCCACATGGACTTCCTGAGTTCCTTCTGGGTGCCGAGCGCTGTGCTGGTCCTGGGAGAGCAAAGCCTGCCTCAGCCACCTTGTAAAAGCTGTGAAACCGAAGGAGCAGAAGCACTTAGAGAAATCCGCACTGCTGCCTGCTGCTGGCAGGGGCCCCTGGGAGCGTTCCTGCACGGCCCGCTGGAGGCCTCCCGGAGCTGTTTCTGTGACCTCCCCGGCGTGCACAAGTCCTCCTGCTCTCCTGGAGGTGGAACCAGTGGCTTCCTGGCTTCTCCACGTGCAGCCTGATTCTGGGCCAGGGTGTGTTTGAGCCCCTGTTTGGATATAGTGAAAAGTGGCAGCTCTCTGCTCAGAAAGGTCAGCATGAGAGACAGAACAAAGAGATCTTTGAAGCCGGCCTCTCCCGGGGCTTGGAAAAGCCCGGCTCTCCCTGAGGCGGGCAGCCTGAGGCTTTGGGGCAGGATTGCTCAGGCTGGTGGGACAAACCTCCCTCTGGTTTCTCGTTTCCTGGAGGGGTGACCTGAGGGGTGCTCCCAGCACCTCGACAGGTCAGCTCCAGCTAGGAGCCCAAATCTCTCCCTGTTCAGTCCTTGGCCTCGGGGACCCATGTGTTGGGTTTTCTCGATATGCACTTAATAAAATTTGGGCTTTCCCCAAAAGATGCCCAAGGGAGATTATTTCCTTAGCTAAAGAATTCCTGGGAATTTATTTTGATACCAAAAGCCCTTACAGATTTGAGAATGGTAAAAATACCCAATTTTTTGAACACAGGATCTTGTTAAAATGCAGTTCTAACTCCATGCGTGCGTGCGTGTGTGTGTGTGTGTGTGTGTGTGTGTGTGTGTGTTAGGGGGAGCAGGGACTCTGAGACCTGCATTTCTCTCAAGCTCCCAGGTGATGCCGGTGCCCCCCGATAGTCCTTGTGCTAGAGTGGAAAGAAGGGCCATGGTCCCTCTTGGCTCTGGCCTCCTGGGCCAGGCTGCCAGGGAGGCGGCTGGCAGACAGCCCACAGAGTGGAAAATCACCCACAGGTCCCAGGATCCAGCCCCACCTCAGCCAATGGCCATTTGGCCCCGCTGCCAGGACAGGATTCTCTGGCAGACTCGCCAGCCAGCCATTTCCTCTCTCTGGGAGCTCATGCAGTCTGTCTGTTTCCTCTCTCCTGGTGGCAGCCTGCTGTCCAGCATGGGGTCCCCCCTAAGGCCATGGTCTCAGTGGCATCAGAGGGCTACCCGCCGATTTGTCCTGTGGAACTCGTGGGGGCTCCCAGCCCGTCTGTCCCCGATGTGACCTGCTCTTATGTCCCCTGATTGGGGGGGCGGGGGCGGGAAGGGGGAGTGAGTAAGATGGACACAAAGCTGGAGGATCTCCTCAGGCACTTGCTTCCTCCCCACTACTATTAGCTCCCAAGCGCCCATAATAACGTGGCAAGTTAAGTTATAAGTAATATGATCTTTAGGACCCACATTAGAAGGGGAAAGGAAAATAATATTTAGTGACCCTCTACCACTTGCCTGGGTATGCTTGGGGCTTCTCATGTGTTCATCTTCCTGGCAGCAAGTGAGGAATCTTCCTCCTCGAGATGGGGAGGCTGGGACTCAATGCCTTCCTTCCCAAGACATAGGATCTGGCTGCAAAGCTGGGGTTTCCATGTCTGGTTGTGTCTCTGGAACCTGGCTTCATAGCATAGGAGAATGGGAGGACACTGGTCATCTAAACCAGTGGTTCTCAAACCTCAGTGTCTATCGGAACCCTCTGGAGATTTGACAAAACCCAAATTGCTGGGCTGGAGTGAGGGATCTCAGAGTTTGTTTTTCTAAAAAGTTTTCTAGAATGCCGAAGCCGCTGGTTCAGGGACCACACTTTGAGAACCTATGGTCTACACTGTGGTTCCTCAAAGTATGGGATAAATAGCTCTAGCAGTATACAAGATGGTTTTAGGTGATATACCAACTTTTTTAAAAAAGTACTTCTGCATTTAATATCTGTTAGCAAAAAAAAGGTAACTAGCACACCAAATCCATGATTTCGGGTATTTTTTATTTAGGTAAGATAACTACTGAAATAAAAAGAAGGTATGAAGAAAAGCATTACATGAATTATAACTCTGATGGTATGCAGCTAGTAGCAAAAATTGTAAATGTAGCGTACAGATAACACGAGTCTGGGAGCGGCTGACCCAAACTGAAGGGCTGGCTTTATAGAGACCATGCACAGCCCACAGAGGTGACCTGCCTCCCTGGGCCTCTTGCCATCGGGAGTAGCGTCCATACTTGAACTGTTTCTAAGATTGCAGTGGTTTCTAAGGACCCTGCCTGCCCTGCCCAGTTCTTCAGCAGGTCCCTGTTCAAGTTCAGTGGGAAGGCTAGGGAAGGTCACTGTGACTCTGACTCCATCCCACAGATCTTAGTCTCTATTCTCAGCCTTACAGACAGGGGCCTGTGTGTATAATGTTGGTAGTTTGCATGTTTGGAACTTGTTTGTGTGAAGCCAGAGGCCCCTGATTTGATCTACAAATTTGTCCTTTTATGACGCCAGGCCCCAAGGCCCCCAAGAATCTGTTCCATATAGGAAGGTTGCAGGAGGGACTCGTGTGACTTTCCTGGCTGCCCCCTTTGGCTTTTTCACCCTTTGTGATATCCCCCCTACCCCCCTACTTTCTGGCCCATCAGCCTGTGCTTCCGCTTGTGTGCTATGATCCAGCGAACCCGTAGCATAAATGAGAAGAGTACCCGAGTATGCGCAGATGTGGGCTGAGCACATGCTTTGCCCAGGGGCTGTGCTGGGGCTGAGCTTCAGGAGCACAGCAGGAGTCCTCAGGGCACGGAGGTCAGCCTATAAGCAGCAAATAACCAAAAAGTGTCATGCTTGCTTCAAAAGAGGAATTAAAAACATTGCAAGGCCAGGGACCTGGGAAGGGTGCAAGAAGAAAGTGATATTGGAAAAGGATTTAAAGGATAAATACGGGAAAGGCCGTTTAAGGCAGTGTGAGGAGTCGGTTCAGAGAGATGATGCAGGGAACCGTGGTTGGTCATTCAGAAAGGACTTGAGTGGTGGAGATGAGATGCAAGAGGGCAAGGGCAGACTCATCAGCTGAAGACTTCTAAGCACTGAGGGCGCCACAAAGGGGCCAGCCTGGGAGGAACATTGGGTAGACTCTTGGAGGGACAGCAGAAATAGTTTTTCAAACTGCAGGCCACACCCATGGGTGGCTTGCAAGATCTATTTAGTGGACCTCGGCCAACATTACTTAAAAAGGGGAATAAGGGAGACATAAGATAGAAATTTCAGAATGGACTGCACGTAGTAGAGGCAGATGGTGTCAAGAAACTTGCTTCAGTTGAATGTAAGGAAAGTGTATATATCCTGGTTGCCATGTCAAATGTTTTTTTTTTTTTTTTTTTTTTTTACTGTGGGTCACACTTCTAAAAGCTTGGGAATTATTTCAAGGCACAGAGGGCTGACTGGAAGGAGTGAGGCTGGCCAAGGTAGTTAGTTATGTGGGCCCTGTAGAAGGGACGGAGAGGTGAGGGTGGGTTCCAGTGTTGGCCAGATGCAGAGAGTAAAGATAGAGGATTTGAAACCAACTCAAGTCAGAAAGTTTGACGCCAGCCCGAAGCTCTCGGACCAAAATAACATCTTGTTTAAAATACTTGATCTTGGTCCCCTTCTGGTGGCAAACTGCAAGCCTGAGTTCCAGGGGGTCTGGAGAGAAGCATCCCCCTGTTCTTTGATGGGTGATGTCCTGACCATCTGGGGTGCTAGTGCTTACAACGCTGACCTTCCACTCCAATTATTGAGGGTTTTCAGATAGAACTCAGGCAGGCCCCTCGTGTCTGCGGGTTTGATGAGGATGTCTCTGGGAAAACGAGGCTGGTTCTGACCCTGGCTGTGCTGTCTTCCCGCTAGGAACATCGTGAAAGGCATGAGAGAGCTCCGGGAGATCCTACGGACCGTGGAGACCAAAGCAACTCAGAACTTCAAAGTGGTAACATGGAGGGGTCCCCGGGGCTGGGTGCTGGGTGCTGGCTGTAGCTGGTTTATTCGGGGGTCAAGTTCAGTGGGAGACAGCAGACGTCCTGGTGGGCATCAGGGATGGCAGTGTGTCACATGCATACTTCTCTCCCATCGGTACTCATAGCACACGTCGTCAGTCAGTCACTGCACCTTCCCACTAAGCCAGGAAGCACCCACAGCAGCTTCTCATCATATTATAGATGGCCCCAAGCCTTGGGTCAGAGTTGGAGCCGGCCGACACCATATCCAAGCAAGGTGGTGGGCTAATTCTTAGGGGCCTTTGATCTTAGTAAATAACCTGGACTCTGCTTTGCTGCCCCCAATTCAGGCCTGCCTTTCCATTCACCCTGCCCGCATCAGAGCCAGAGCAGCTTTTCACTATAGAATGTTTGGTCAAATATCAGAAAGGCATTTGGTAGAGAGAGCTAGCCGACGGTGCCATGGCTTTGCAGTGTCGAATGTATTTTATTTTTACTATGGGTCACACTTTTAAAAGCTTGAAAAATGTTTTAAGGCCCAGAGGGCTGACTGGACGGGCTAAGGCTGACAGGGTGATGATACAGGCCTGGAGAGAGGCAGGCCAGTCTGCAAGGGCCTGTGGGTGCTCAGAGCTGTGCCGGGCCCCCACGGGGTCAGGAGAAGGGGGAAATGCACCTCTTGTCTAGGAGGGAGAGAGGGGAAAAGATTAAGCAGGAGCCATCCAAGGCCAACAGAAAAGACGCTGCTCGCCACCTGCCGTGTGAGAGTGGCTCCCGGGAGTGGAATGGTGGGCCTCCTGGCAGGGCTGCGCTTGGCAAGGCTGGGAGGTGGGTGGAGGGCACGCTGGCCACATCCGGGGAGAGCGGCCTGTGCCTGTGCCTGACCCCGCCCTCTCTGCCAGGTGGCGGCCAAGCACCTGGCCGGGGTCCTGCTGCACTCCCTGAGCGAGGAGTGCTACTGGAGCCCCCTGTCCCAGCCTCTGCCCGAGTTCATGAATAAAGAGGAGAATTCCTTCATCATGCAAGCCCTGCGCAAGCCTCACCTCTACGAAGGAGACAAGTAAGCTCTGGCCCTGCTGGACCACGCCAGCCTCGCACCCAGGCTTTGGCCCCGCTGGCTGTCCGCCCCTCTCTCTGCCCCATGTACTCCAGCCGCCACCCGGCTCACTGCCAGGCAGGCCCATCCGTGTCAGCAGGAGCCATGTGGCCTGGATAAGGCAGGTCTTGAGTGGGCGTTGGCAGGAGATTCCCATGCAGGCGTCCTCAAACTTTTTAAAGTGGGGGCCGGATCACAGTCCCTCAGAGAGCTGGAGGGCCGGACTATATGAACTACTAATTCCTACTGTAACACCTCAGCTGCGCTCACTGCCCAAAAAACCTGGCGGGCCGGCTCAGACTCCTCTGCGGGCCGCATGTGGCCCGCGGGCCGTAGTTTGAAGACCCCTGCATAGAGCATCCAAAGGCCACACAAGCTATTTGGGGAGCACCTGCCTTCCTAATTATCTTGCTTAATAGCCCATCTCTCTCTCGTTCGTGCCAGTAATCGACGGTGGGGTCTGTGACCCCTCGCCCCAGCCTCCTCACACAGTGCTACGCCCTGGAAGGGCCATTTCCCCTGGAGCATTTGCGGTATCTCCAGGCTGGCGCCACCCACCCAGCATTTCAGATCCATAACTCTGGGGCGCGAGCCAGCACTGCAGGAGGCTCCGGTGCCTGTGAATTATGCAGGAGAGGGTCACCTTACCGGGGCTGGTGCCGGCTCCGGGCAGAAGGCGGGCAGGTGACGGGCCAGCGGCACCGGGTGAGGGCCGTGCTGGAGCCACGCACCTTTCGTGTCTTTCAGCCTCTACTGCCCAAAGGACAACATCGAGGAAGCCCTCCTGTTGCTCCTCATCAGCGAGTCCATGGTAAGTCCTGCGGCTGAGGCCTGAGGGGCTCAGGCTCAGGCCACCCGGTCCTGGCCTCCCAGGGTCATCCCTGAAGCGGGATTCTTAGATCACAGGGGTGCGGTGCACAAGGTTTGGGTCAGGTGCATAAGGCTGCACTTGGGGTCCTGGGTCCTGCCCCCAAATGAGTAGGGCCTGAGCTAACACGTCCCCACCCACCTCTTCTGGATTACAAAGGATGGATACCTGCATCCAGCAGCTCTGTGCTGGGTACGGGAGTGGGAGGAGCATGCAGAAGGCCTGGGTTCAAGTTCCAGCTCTGCCACTCATTAGCTGAGGCCCCTGGGCAAACCGCCTAACCTCTCTGAGCCTCAGTTTCCTCACCTGTAAAATAAAAGGAACTCCCAGAAGTTAGTTACAGCGTGCCTGTAAAAAAAGAATGTGCTTGTTCACAAAACTATTTCTCGGGTGTCATCTAGTTCATGCCAGGCCATGTGCTAGATGCCAGAGTGGCACCAGCAAACAAAACGGAGAAAAGTCCCGCCCTCGTGGAACTGACGTTCTAGTGAGGGATGGGCAATACATGGACTAACTACTAAAATATCTCGGGTACCAGTGTCTGTGTGCCTTGGGAAATTAAGGCAATGGGGGGCTATGGTGTGTGGACAGAGCACATGTGAGATGCTTTTCAGATTTTTTTTATGAGCCCCATCCCTGCCCTAGGCAGGGAGACAGCACACACACATGCGAACATACACATTCGCGCGCGCGTGCTTGTGTGTGTGTGTGTGTGTGTGTGTGTGCGCGCGCGCGCGCGCGGGCACACGCGTGCGCCAGGGTTTGGAGACTCAGCAAAGGGGAGAGGTATAGTTGGGTGGTCCAGGAAGTGGTGAGATAATGCCTGGTCGAAGGGAAGTGGGGGAGGGGTGGGCAGGAGCAGCAGGATCCAGGTGTGGAGGTTCCGTCAACATGGCATGGCATAGGGGAGCCCTCTGACTGAGGGGCCCCTCAGAGCCTGTGAGCTGGGGACCCCGGGTTGAGAACTAGATTTTTTTTTTAAATGATGTATCTGAGAGCAGAGTGTGGAAGGGGAGTTTAAAAAAAACTAAGACCTTATGGGCTGGATCCCTGAGCAGCCAGATGTGAGTGCTCCTTTGGGGACCTGGAACCATGTGATGCCAGGGCTGATTTAGAGAACTTCGGTCAGTGGGTTACCTCCAGCTCAACAGGTCTTCCAGCAAACAGACAGAAGGAGGGACGCTGGAGAGGGGCAAGAGACTGCATTCTTCCTCAGCCAGCTCCGCTGGGATTGAGAGCTCTGTGAAGGGGCGTGGATATCTGAATCTGAGGCAAACTGGCCAGGGTGTGGTCCTGGAAGGTTTGCAGGGTGTGGTCCTGTGAGGGGGCATGTGGTTGCTGCAGGGAGGGGGCATCTAGCTGGTGAGTCTGATGCGAAGCTAGAAGTACGGTACCAAGTGCCAGATCTGATTCTCATTGGAAAATAGTATACTGTTCACAGAAGAAAGGACCCTCACTCTAACCACAGACTGAACCCCAGTTTCACATTATGGAACCTCAGACATAGACCAGCCCCCCCTCTCTGTCCCCTACACACACCTCATTTAGTTATCTCAGCACCTGCTCCCTCAGGCGAATCGCACTGAAGTCACCTCTCTCAGGGAACATGGGTTGCTATCGTCACCTTCCTGTGCTGAGGGTTACAGTGTGGTCTGCAGGTGGAAGGTCAAAGGTGAAAGTGAACTTTCCTTAGGGCCCTTTCTCTGCCAGGTTCCAAGAGGTAGGCATTATATTGAGCTACGTGAAAACGAACCATTTCCCATGACTCAGTGTAATACCGATACGGTCCCATCTTACAGATGCGCTAAGTAAGGTCCAGAACAAGTATTTGTCTTGGTCAAGGTCACACTAATAATCCTTGCAACCGAGATTTGAATCACATCTGTTTCCCTAAGTAGCTTCTAAAGCACAGGCTGGGATCAAGGCTGGGCTTAGTCTCCCCAAGAATTTTCTTCTTGCTCTGGATGCCCAGGACCAGCGTTCAGATGCCTTCCCAGTGAAGCTCCTCCTCCCCAAACCCTCAAGTCTTTGGGGCCTGCGGCTGCCCTGAAATAAGATGAAGAATGCCTTTTGCTAAAAGGTGGCCCACCTTTGGAGCCACGGTGACTTTTCCTGAAGGTGCGGTTTCCCTCCAACCAGCTCTTCCCCTTGTTTGAGAAGCTGTTGGCTGGCTGGCTTGATGAGTAGACTCAGGGGTCCGGGCCTGCAGACCGGGCAGTGTCCTGAGAATTCCCTGTAGTATGCAAAGCGGAGGAAGTGCTCGAACTCAGCACTGCAGCCGGGAGAAGGCACCTCCGGGCCTGGCTGGCTGGCTGGCTGGCTGGCTGGTTTCCTCTTGCTCACACCCAGCCTGTCACAGGTTTAGAAACCAGCCTTTTTGGGGGAGAGCTTTGGCAATGGACTTCGCTTTGTTGTCTCAGCTATGAGCGCTTTCCACCTGGAATCTGGAACCCATTGCTGTGGCTCAGAGCTGTTTCTCAGAGTGACCAGACCCCCTCTGGCTTCTCTCTTGTACGCGTTTCACACCCTCCCTCCCCGCAGGCAGCATCCTCCAGCAGGTGTGGGTGTCACTGTGTCGGCCTCCTGAGTGGGACTGCGGTTCAGTCTGCCGGCCGTGTCCCTTGCAGGGCCGTGCCCCAGCATCTCCCTTTGATGCTGGCTGTGTTTGCCTGCCGATGACAGGGACACGCTCTAGAATAGCGGCTGCCTGCTGTGGCTGCTGCTTGGGTCCTTCTAATCCTGCAGGATTCATAATACTGCAGCGAACGAACGCCCTTTCTGCGTAGCCAGCCCAGGGGGCGTCCTCCCAGCTCTCCACCTCCAGGACCGCGCGGCTACTTGTCTCCCAAGCACCGCAGCCCCTGCTCTGTGGCTTGGAGCTCAGAGGAGTAGCCTGCCTGGGGTCGGGTGAGGGGCTGGTGCCTTGGATATGGTTGTTGTTACGGTCTGACCGAGTGTGATCAGAACGAATGGGTACGCTTTTGTCTTCCGAGAAGTAAATAGAAGTCTATATATATATATATATATATATATATATATATATATATATATATATTATTGATTTTTTTTTTTTTACAGAGAGGAAGGGAGAGGGATAGAGAGTTAGAAACATCGATGAGAGAGAAACATCGGTCACCTGCCTCCTGCACACTCCCTTCTGGGGATGTGTCTGCAACCAAGGTACATGCCCTTGACCGGAATCAAACCTGAGGCCCTTCAGTCCACAGGCCGACACTCCATGCACGGATCCAAGCAGGTCTCAGTGTGAATAGAAGTCCTAAATGCTTCCGCAGAACCGCAAGGGATGTGAGCTAGAACTGGTTGAAGAGCTGTGTTTTGGATCCAGGTTTGAGTCTTTGGGGCCAAAAGAGCATTTTAAAACCCACCCACCCCACGCAGCCCTCTCCCCACCCCGCTGATCTAGTTTGAGCAGCGTGCGTGCCGTGCTCAGCTCCGAGATGCCGTGGCGAACTGCAGTCAGAGCCCCCATCCCACACGTACTCCCGCCGGTGGAGTGAGTGTCCATGGACATGAGGGAAATCCTGGTCCCCAAATCAGAAGGGATTGCCCCGTCTGCTGAACTCCAACTGCATAGCCCAGGTTTTGAAAGAATCATGTCTCAAAACCAGCCTGATTTTTCTCCAACAGTCGTGGGACCGGGAAGCACGGCAATCGTGGCTGTTTCTAACGTACTGATCTAGGGCATAAAAATATGTGGGACAGCAAAGCGGGTCCTGGGTCCCTGTTCCTTCAGCTGCTGGGGAAGTCGCTGCAGGTGGCAGGCTCTTGGGAAGTGAAAGGGCAGAAAAGGCCCGTTGGTGAGTGATGGGGCGGGGGAGGGGGTGGTGTGTGTCCTTGACAAACTCAACGTTTGCCAGACCCAGTGTCAGACATCCACGATCTGAATCCTGGCTTTGTCGTTCACCACCTATGTGGCCTGCGTAGGTTTCTTACCTTCCCGGTCCTCAGTTTCCTGTAACACGGGGCTAAGAAAGCCTCTCCGGCAGGGCTTTGAGCTGATGAAGTAAGAAAATGAGCACAAAGGTGCCTGGTACACTGTGGGTGTTCACCACGTGTCTGTTTTGTCCTGATAAATACTTGGTTCTGACTCAGTCGTTTTAGAAAACATTTAGATTCATATCCAGTTGGGAGAAGAAAAAAAAATTGGTTTGAGGACACCATTTGGTTAAATAAAAAAGCCGGGCGGGAGGGGGGGTGAGGGGTGCTTCCTGGGCTTGGTTCCATGTGGGACTCAGACGAGCACAGATTGTTCCAGCTCTCGGCACCTGGTTTGTGCTCGCATGAGGCCGCGCTCTGCTGCGGGCTGCCGCGGTGAAGGGTCTGATCACGGCCAGCTCAGAGCACTCAGGTCAGGAGGGGGAGAGCCTCGCCCTCGCTCGCTGCAGGGGGAGCGGTCATTGCTGCTGCAGGCTGATGCAGCAGGAGGGGGCGCTGGTGTGGGCCTGGCCCCTGGCCCTCCGTAGATGGGACACATCACAGAGCCTGTTCTTTCTCGGCTCTGGACGCACAGCTCGAGAGCCGGTGGCAATTAGTGGGGACCGCAGCCCAAGTAGAACATGACAGCATCCTCCAAGGAGGCACAGGCGCAGGCGCTAGGCACAGAGGTCGCCAGAAGACTCTTGTCCGGGGCAGTTGCTATGCCGTGTCGCAGGCGACCCTGAGGCTGGGCGGGTCCTGGCCGATGGAGAGGCTGGGTCTGAGAACAGGGCTGAGCAGGACCCTGGCCACATTGCCCAAGGAGCTTGTTCTCTGCAGAGGAGCAGCATCCAGGCCTCATTGGGTTGTGCTTTGGTTCTTCCACAAGAAGAGACATGCCAGGCCTGCTGATGGCCAGGATCAGCCTACCGGACACTTTCTCAGAGGCATCTGGTAGCAGGGAAAGAGCCTGGGAGTGAAAGCAAGATGTCTAGGTTCTAATCTGCGTCCCAGCCACCTATCTATATGCCTTGGGTGCCTGCCTGGCCTCCCTGGGCCTCAGTCTTCACATCTGTAAAATAGGACAATAGTATGTGAGGAGGTCATTGTGAGAATTATGAGATGCCACTTACAAAGTGTCCATGGGTTGCTTCCCTTTCCTTCTCTGGCGCTGTTAGTGTCCAGGGCTGCAGAGGAGAGGCAGCTGGACAGAAGTGAAGGCTATAATTGTTTGAGGCCCTGCGTGCAGCTCACAGGGTGAGACGGGGCTGGCAGAGGAGCACAGGACCAGCTGCTCGGCCTTAACTCTCAGGACCTTCTGGGGTTCGGTTTCCCCACCTGCGAAGGGGCCATACTGGCTTCATCCTGCCTCTCCTGGGCTCACTGTGAGGCCAGAGGGTGATGGACATGAAAACTCAGCTCCCGAAGGGTAGTGCAGGCACACACATAAGGAAGGGTTGTTTGAACAGGAGTCACCTGCCGTGGGGTTTCCCCGGGGCTGGCCCCCCCAAGACCTGTATTTGCTTCATGGGTGTTTGTCCAGAGGCCCCATGTGGGCACGTTGGCTGTGAGGAGCTGTCAGGTGACGGGAGGTGGGGAGGAGCACCTCTTGTGGCTTTGTCTCTTCTGATCTGCTAGAAGGGCGGGGATGAATGTCCTTGTGTCTGGGGGAGGCCGCCCCAAGACTAGGAGTAGGGACAGCCCTGTGAACCCTGCCCGGGATTACATGCGTGGGTTCAACAAGAGCTGGGACTCCCCAGAGGCGGGAGACCTGGGAGTGGGCCTGGGGGTGATGCTGGGAGACACCAGGGAGAATATTCTGCCGTTATTCCATTACCAGGAAGGACTGTGATGGTGAGAAGGAAATTTAGGGTCCCTACACTGCTATAAGGCTCACAGGCGCTTTCACATCTGTCGCGGCATTTGACCTGGAGGATTTCCTAGCGAGGCCACGTAAATGGTGGAAGGAAGAGTCTGATGGGGGCTAGATGGAGGCAGGCTGCTGATGGCGCTGGGAGCATGTGTGGTTTCAGGGTGTGAGCCCAGGGGAGGAGGGAGCCGTGCCCCCGGTGTGCCGGGCCGGGACATGAAACCCCAGTGTGCCTTGTCCTCCAAGGCTTGCTCTGGCCGCTGAGCTGCACGTGAATTTCTATTATACCTGTTGCTCCCTGCCTGGGCTTCGGCTTCCTTCTTTCTGCCCCAATTCCCCCACCCACCCTGTTGCCATGGTTACGTACATAGGCCAGGCCCAGCATTGCACTGGAGCATTTCACCGCAGCCCTGCCCTGAAGCCATAGCAACGGCTGGGCAAACTTCTGCTTTTGGCTTGCCTTTGGGGAACCACGCTTCCCTCTGGGCACAGGCTGCAAGTCCTGGGGACCCCTGAGAAAGTGCCTTCCCTGCTGTCTGCCTGTTGGGGAGCCCCCCCCTCCCCCCACCCCATCCCTCAGCTCAGGGATGCTGCTGCCACCCTCTCTCCCATTCCTGTTCTCATGACCTAATTCCTTCCCCTTCCTGTGCTAGAAATCCAGCCCCTCCCGCCAGCCCACCTTAGGAGACACTGTTCTCTTAAAGGTCAAGGTCGAGGGCGGACAGGAGGAAGTTCCAAAACCGGGCCCAGAAATCTCTCAAATGTCACTCCTACACGTGCTTTGAGTGAGCCTGTACTGGGGCTGGGTGTCCGGAGACACGTCCCGGCCCCAGGAACGGGTGAACCAGCTGGACGGGTGTGAATGCCCAGTGCTAAAGTAGCATCTGGCGAGATACCTGCAGATACCAGCTCTGAGTTGCGAGGAGCTTGCAGGCACCAAGGTTGACAGAGGGAACGAAGATGGGCCATGTGAGGATAGGGAGCTGGTGGGGGGGGGGCGGTGTCTGTGGGGGCCCAGGGAGGACTGGAGAGCTGGGGTCTGGGTGGGGCCACAGGCAGGGCCTCTGATGGCAGCAACAGCAAGGAGGCTGGGCTTTATCCTGGGCTGTCGGCAGGGGTGGGAGCTGGGTTCTGGTAGGGGCTGCTCTTCAAGGACAGACCAACCAGAGCGGAGACTTTTGTTGAAAGCTTGCTGCTCACTTGCCCCTGAAGGAGACTGGTCAGCATGGGCGGGTCCCCAGATCTTAGAGTGTCTATACAGGCTTCTTCCCGGTCCCTCCCACCTCCCCCTCCCCGCCGCCCCACGGAATAGCCACCCTGCAGGCTGCCTGTCCTGCTCCCTCCGCCGGGACCTCTGTCTCCCACCAGAATCCTCACTCAGATTCCGCTCCGTACATGCCCATCACTGTGCTGAGGGTGGGGACTGTGTCTCCCACCCTCTCATTTCCTAACACCCCCGCCCCACCTCGGCCTGGTGGGAGCTGCCCCACCCCGGGCAGCCTGAGCTGCGGAGTCACTGGAGGTGAAGGTTGGAGGTGGGAGAGCGGGGAGGAGCATGGCCAGGCACAGAGCAAGTTCTGGAGTTTGTGTTCCTGCTCAGCTCAGTGAAATATGATAGCTCCTGCCAAGCATCTCCTTAAAATTTCGTCTCTCTTCCTGCTGGTGCCTGTGTGGGTGGATTTCACCAGGAAGGAGGGGGTTTCTCTGGCACTCTGCCTCTCCGCGCCTCTCCCCGAATCCTCTCGAGTGCCCGGCCCGTTCTTGTTTACCAAGCTGGCACAGTGTCAGCCTTTCTGGGGACCTCCTGGCCTCCCATGCCCTCTCCTAGGACTGGCCCATGTCCAGGGGGTGGTGGGCAGCCCTCGTGCATTGTGGACCCCTGGTCTAACTCCTCAAAAATGCCAGCGTCCGAAAGACAGAGGAAGGCTGAGGGGCTTGTCCGGGTGAAAGGACTAGAGACCTGGCACCGAGTGCAGGGCAGGCCCTGGATTGGATCCGGGAGTGAGAAAAGTAAACGGCTAGGAAGGTTATCGGTGGGATGGACGGCAGAATCGGGATAGGAGCTGTTATTAGATGATAGTAACATCAGTGCTGCGCTCCCTGGATGTGGCATTTCTGTCGTGGTTACAAAAAGAATGTCTTCAGCCTGTTCCCAAGGGCTGCGGCTGGTTGTAGCCATAGGCTCTCCAGCTGCATGCCAGAGCGACCTGGGGAGGCTTTGACAGCTCAGTGAGCATAACACCTGCAGCTGCCACTCGCCCTTCCTGTACCCTGGGCCTGAGCCTGGGCCTGGGCCTGGGTCCCTGCAGGTGGATGTACTGAATCAACTTTTTGGTTTAGAGCTTTTTCACGCTTTTTTTTTTTTTTTCTTGAATAAAAATAAAATAAATTTAAAAAAAGAAAAAGAATGTCTTGAGTTTTAGGGGTAAAGGAGCATATTCTCATAACGTACTATCTTTATGTTATTATTGAGTAATAGAGAAACTGCAAATGTGGTAAATGTTAACAGCTGGGTTCACTGTTCGGGTATTATTCTTGCAACTTTCCTGCTGGTTTGAGATTTTTCTTTTCTTAATTTCAGAGAGGAAGGGAGAGGGAGGGAGGAAAGGAGGGAAACATCAATGATGAGAGAGAATCATTGGTCAGCTGCTTCCTGCACACCTGCCGCTGGGCCCGAGCACACAACCCGGACATGTGCCCTGCCTGGGAATTGAACCATGACCTCCTGGTTCATAGGGTGACGCCCAACCACTGAGCCACACCACCAGTGGTTTGAGATTTTTCAGAATAAAACATCGACTACTGGAGCTTGAGCCTTCAGGACGGCTCCCTCACCCCAGCCTGCGGTGAGGGACTGAGGAAGGATCTGGCTGTTTCTGGGAGCATGGCCAATTGCCTGTCCTGGGACCCTGGGCCTGGGGGACAGGGACTCTGTTGGGACAGGCATCTGCATGTTTCCTGTTCTCGCTGTTTCCCAAAACCGTGTCTTCCGACAGGCTACTCGGGATGTGGTGCTGAGCCGGGCGCCGGAGCAGGAGGAGGACCGGACAGTGAGCCTGAGGAATGCGGCGGCCATCTACGACCTGCTGAGCATCACGCTGGGCAGGAGGGGGCAGTACGTCATGCTGTCGGAGGTACGGCCAGCTCCTCCCTCCCCGGGGTGGGGTGGTGCATGGGGGAAACACGATGGAGCTACCGGTGGTCCTCCTCCGCGGTGCGCCCCGCCTCCACCAGGGGTGCAGCTTCATGCTTGGGAGGCCAGGCCTGGGACTGTGCCTTTCCAGGGCCCTTCCCCAGCAGGGGGTTTTTGCTTTTACTGATGTACGTGGTTTGCTTTTGAAAGTGGCACATGGCACTGAATAGAGAAGAACAGAGGAAAGTTATGCGCCCCTCAGTTTCCCCCAGAGATGATACTGGTGTTTTTGTTTGTTGGTTGGTTTGTTTGTTTGTTTAATCCTCACTGCAGATATGTTTTATTGATTTGAGAGAGAGGGAAAAGGAGAGAGAGAGAGAGAGAGGGAGGGAGGGAAACATCAATTGGTTACCTCCGAGAGAGAGAGAGAGAGAGAGAGAGAGAGAGAGAGAAAGAGAGAGAGAGAGAGAGAGAGAGAGAGAGGGAGGGAGGGAAACATCAATTGGTTACCTCCGAGAGAGAGAGAGAGAGAGAGAGAGAGAGAGAGAGAGAAAGAGAGAGAGAGAGAAAGAGAGAAACATCAATCGGTTACCTCCCATACACACCCTGACCAGAGATTGAACCCGAAGAGAGAGAGAAAAAGAGAGAGAAAAACAGCAATCGGTTACCTCCCATACACACCCTGACCAGAGCCTTTCGGTGTACAGGATGGCGCTCCATCCACCTGAGCCACGCTGGCCGGGGTGACGCTGGTGTGTTGTGACTTCCTCTCCTGACAGGGTTCTGAGCTGGGTAGATGGACCCCTCCCCCATTTTGTGGGACAAACCCTGCTGGGGCAATGCTCTGGGCTGGGCCCAAGGGGTGGTGCCTCTTTGGGGTAGGAGGGTTCAGGGGAACTGAGCTGCCCCTCTTTCCTGCCCCCTGCCCACCATGCACGTGGCACATGCAGTTTTGAGCTCTTCAATCCAGGCTGAGATCGAGGTGGCTGTGGGGCCCTGTCCCCGTGGGCCTCTTGGCAGTAGATTCTCTTCCCTCGGGGTTCCGAGGGCCCCCCAAAGGAGGGACTGACACATGCCAGGCACCCGGCCAGGCGCTTTCTGGGATGCTCCCCTCTTAACGTGGGAAGGACAAGTGGCGGGTGTTCTCCCAAGTTTATCACGAGGTTGGCGAGACCCAGAGAGGTGGGGATTGGCCAGGAAGGTGCAGGGTGTGCATATGGAGCTGGCATGCGAACCAGGCCCCTGAGCTCTCAGGGTGCGAGCTGCCTGGTCCTGTGTCCCTCACCTGACCCCCCACCACCTGATCATGGCCATGTGATGAGTCATATACAGGCGGCTTCTGCCTCTGGTCCCTGGAACCACATCGATTGGGGACCGTCGGGTCTCAGCAGCAGGCAGCCCCTGGTCTGGCTGCCCAGGACTGGCCAGGCCGGGGAGCAGTCGATTTTGTCGGCGGGAGGAAGAGGAGCCTCTCCATTTTGGCGGCATCCTGTCCCCGGGCTTGGCAGCCAGCCTGCTCTGCCACTTACAGGCCTGTGCCTCTGGCCAGTCATTCAGACCTCAGCTTCCTCACCTGAGAACTGAGGGTGATCCGACAACCCTCCTCCCAGGGCTGTTGGGAGGAGTAGCTGAGCTGTAAAGAGCTGAGAACAGTGTTAGGAACTGTCAGCTGTGATTATTTTATCGGATGTCTAACGTTTCAAAAGCACTTTCGCAAATCTCGCTTCATTTGCTTTTCACCAACACCCTGTGAGACCCCTCACCTGCCGTGGGGTGGGCACCGAGGGCCTGGGTTTCACAAGGACGGGAAACCCCTGGGGTTTTCCAACCGGAGCCAAGCAGGGGCTTGGGCGGTGATGACCCTGGAGGGCGGGATGGGCTCGGTGTGTCCTGGCAGAGAAGTGCTCACCCGCTCCCTCTCCCCAGTGCCTGGAGCGAGCCATGAAGTTTGCATGTGGAGAATTCCACCTTTGGTACCAAGTGGCCCTCTCCATGGTGGCGTGCGGGAAGGTAAGGCCGCAGCCTGGGGCTGTGCATCACCCTCAGGGAGCCCTGCTCTCCTCGGGTCCCTCCCGGGGGTGGGGATGGCATTCGGGACCCAGAAATGTTTGTCAGGCAGCAGATTTTCATCTCCAGGAGGGGGGAGGGCATGGGAGGGCCACACACAGACCCCGTGTGAAGCCCGTGTGCACGGTGAGTCTATGGCTGCTCTTCTCAGAGGGTGTGTGCACCCAGAGAGCATAGTGGCATTTCCACGGTGAATGGAGGGGAAGCCTGCCTGAGACAGGGGGGCGGAGTGGGTCCCAGCAAGGGGAACCGTGTTCCCTTTGGGCTGTGGCTGACTTCTCGGTCCCGGGCGTGGAGTGTGGGAAGCACCTGCTCGTGAACCTGGAGCTGACCACATCCCGGGAGGACAGGCTGCATTTGCTCTCTGCCCTCCGGGCCCTGCCCCAGCACCCCCGTTTTCCCTCCGATGAGAACCACACTTATATAAGCCCCTATTTTAAGTAGCGACATGATAGGAAAAGCTTTCCGGGGCTGGGCCCCGGGCTGTGGGGACTGAGGGTGCTTCGAAGGCAGGAGACAAGGTGGCAGATCAATGAGCTGGCATATCATTCCAAGAGCTGTAAACACCCAGGGCCCTTTCTGTAAACACCTCTGTGCCACCTGCCATTCCTAGCCCTGCACCGTCCGAGGTTGCCAGTGCCTCAGTCACAAATGGAGGGTGTACAGGCTGAGTCCTGGCAGGGAAAGGGAGGGAGAGCAGGTGCTGTCGCCTAGCAGGGGGGAAGTCCAGCCAAGAATCAAGTGGGAGCCTTCTCTGCCCCTGCCCTGCCAGGCATTTGTCTTCCCAAGCCTCTTCCCCCACTCCACCCCCATCACATTGGCCACCCCGCAGAGCACCCTGAACATGACGTGGTGTACCCCAGCTCTGTGCCCGGCAGGGTCTTGTCAGGGCTCAGGGAGAGTCCAGAACAGAGATGAAGAGGGAGGAGTGGGGGCTGGGGCTCCCACGGAGCCTGGGCAGACAGTGCACAGGGCATGGGACAGCATCCTGCTTCCAGGGAACCGAGAAAATGCCTCGATGTCTGTAATAGTGAGCGTGGACCAGGAGAGCCAGGGCCACACAGGTTCTCACCTTCTGTGACTCATGGACCCCTTTGAGATGCTAAAGAAAGCTGGGACCCCTCCTCAGGAGAAAGCACCGCCCACAAAGTTAGCTTTAATGTCTGTTTGCTCCCGGAAGCCCCCAGACTCAGAAGGTGCCGTGTTAGCCTGGACAGTATGGGGCCTTCCACCTTCTCACTGAGAAGACCAGGCTCAGAGGGGCTCTGGTGCAGCCTGGCTCATTCCAAGCTCCCAGAGCTGGTACCCAGCCCGGCTCCTTCATGGGAGCAAGGCGCACTCGAGAATGGGCTTACGGATGGGCGCGAGGTGATTGGTGAGTTTCTCACACGAGGCCCCTCCAGCGGGGTTACACCCCCCCCCCCCATGGGGCAGGAGATTGGTCTAGAAGTACACCCTGCACCTCCTCAGGAGCCCTGCCCACGGGTGGGTGGGCCTGGTTGGCCAGACCTCACCTTTTCTAAGACCCTAAGGTGGAAACCAAGGTTCTGTACCTGTGATTGTGCCCAGAAGGTCTCCCAGGAGGTGAGGCGGGCAGATAGGAAGGTAGCTGGCCCTGCAGCCTGCAAAGAGGAAAGTGAGTTCCATGGCATGATGTAGGTTGCTCTATCTTTTGGTCTCCTCGGCAGTCACATTGGCTCCGTTGCTAGGTAACCGGTGTGACAAAAAAAAAAAAAAAAAAAAAGTGCCGCTGCTCTGACTGCAGAGTCCTCAGATGGCTCCTTAAATAGCAGCGTTTTGTGGTCTGTGTGGGGGAGAATGTGAACGTGGAGGCCAGGGTTAGAGAACCCTGTATTTCAAGGATGCACAGGTCAGCAGCCAGGGAAGGAAGCCAAGGAAAGGCCTGGAAGCTTGCTGGGCTGTGTGGCCAGCAGGGAGGGGGGGTGGTGCGGGCGCTGGGAACAGCTCACTGGGGAGGGTCTTGGGAGAGGTGGAGGGCCTGACAGCTCTGTCAAGCCCTTCAAGGCCTCTCTTGCTCTTGCCCATGAGGGCACCCTGTGCATCCTCAGCCTGCCAAAGGCTGCCATCTGCCTGCCCCCTCTTGTGGGTGGTCCCCTTGTTTCCCCGAGAGAGCAGCGGGGGACAGTGGTGGTGTTCTTCTCTCTCCAGCCTTCCTGATAGCCAAGAGCCATGGCCTCTTCCCTTTCCCACAGTACTGGGCAGAACAGGCCTTTGGCTGAGACACCTGGAATTGGCCTAAAAAGCCTGAGCCCGGGCAGTCACATCTGGGCTGAGAAAAGCTGAGACTATCTATAAAGGGTCCGCGAAGAGACAGTTTAGACTTTGCAGGCCAAACAGTTTCTGTGGGAACTACTCAATTCTTCTGCCTTTGCATCGCGAAAGCAGCCACAGACAATACATACATGAGTTCTAATAAAACTTTATTTACAAAAGCAGGCCGAGGGCCAGACTTGGCCCTCGTACGTACAGCAATGCTTGGTCCATAGTGAGAGTGCTGGTGTTCTTCCCGTCACTGTGATTAGTTACGTCCCTGCCTGTCCCGGGATGCTCCCCGCTTGGGCCTCCGCCCGCCCGTGGCCATCCTCAGCAGATCTAGTCTCACTGGGTCCCTAAGAGCCTTGGGGCATCCCCATATTCCCGACTGGAGGTTCTCCCTGACTCTGCCACTTGGCTTCGCTCCCTCCTAGTCTGCCAGCATTTATACTTCCACCCAACTCCCTGCCACCGGCCCTGCCTCCAAGTCCCATGTGGTTTTGGCCTGATCTCATCACTGCTAACCCAGGAGTGTTGAACTCCGAAGTTTGAGACAGCCCCTTTCTACCTCTTAAATTTGTGTGGTTCACATCTGAATTCTTTTTAGAGAGCTTTCCATCTGTTGCCACCTTAGCTGTCGTCATATCACGTCTGGGTAAGGATCACAGCTTCCATTCTCCAGATGTGGAGACTGAGTCCTAGGAAGGACTTGCCTGCCCACACTGCCTGGGCTCCTCCTGGGCCCACCCCCTGGCTTTGAGAGGAAAGGGATGCAGAGACAGGGATGGCAGTTTGGGAACTCCCCCCATTGTGCACGAGGTGCCCAGTCCGATGCCACCCAGGGCTGCGCGTGATGGTGATGCCTGCTCTTCTTCCGCAGTCAGCCTACGCCGTGTCGCTGCTACGGGAGTGTGTGAAGCTGCGGCCCTCGGACCCCACCGTGCCCCTGATGGCCGCCAAGGTCTGCATCGGGACGCTGCACTGGGTAAGTGAGCTGTTGGGTAGGGTGGGCAGGCCCAGGTCCCAGCGGCCTCCTGCAGGAGGAGGGGTCATGCCCATCTTGCTGTGTAAATGACATTGATATAAAATGAAAAAATATGGAGGGAGCTGAGGGGCCAGGGAGGCTTCCGGCAGGAGGAGGTCTGGGAGGCAGGCCCTTCCGTCACAGCTTGCATGCCCTCGCCCCACGATTAGCAGGGAAACCAAGTCTTTCCAGGGAGACAGACTGTTTGGCATCTTGCACCCTAGAGGTAGGGCAGCCTTGGGATGTGGGTGCTGGGAGAAGGGAGACACCCAGGCTGAGCAGTGCCGCCGAGGGTGGCGGTATGAGCTGGAGAACAGAGGGTGGGCTCGCCAACCCCTAGCTCCCAGCCCTGTGTGTTCCCCGGCTCCTGAGAGGGGCCTCCGCTCCATCACTCGGATGAAGCCCAAAATATCCACCTCGCCGAGGTGGGGCGGGGGAGGGCATCTGTGCTCCCAAAGGCTGCCGGCTCTGAGGTGGCTGTGGGTCCACCCAGCCGACAGCCGCCCTTGCCAGGAAGTCCTAAATTTAGGTCTTCCCGCCGTGGAGGAGCTGTTTCCCTCAGCAGCATAATTACAGTAATTATGTGCATTCAGATTACATGGTAATAAAATTAGGATCAAATCAGTCCAAATTGAAATCAGATGAGTTAGGAGCAAAGGCATCAATGACAACATAAATAGAAAAGCCCAAAAGGAAACTTAAACATGCAGACTTGTCACCAGAACTGGGGAGGAGGGGCGTTGTTTAACCTCAGCCGAGAGCACATTTGGGCGAGGGGGCTGGTTTGAGCCTGGGTGTAAATCGGGGACAGGCTAAAGCCGGTCCTGTTGGAGGGCTGCAGGATGTGGGGGGAGGGAGACTCCTGGTGGCCTTTCCTGATCGAAACCTCGCCTCTGTGGCTCCCCAAAGCCTCGCTTATACCTGCCTTGGACATGTAGCACATCGCATTGTAGTCATTAGTGTTTCTTTCTTCTTTTTTCTTTTCTTTTTTTTCTTTCAATATATTTTTATTGACTTCAGAGAGGAAGGGAGAGGAAGAGAGAAGTAGAAACATCCATGATGAGAGAGAATCATTGGTCGGCTGCTTCCTGCCTGCCCCCTCCTACTAGGGGATTGAGCCTGCAACAAGGGCATGTGCCCTCCACCAGAACCAAACCTGGTACCTTTAAGTCCGCAGGCCAACAACTCTACCCACTGAGCTAACCCGGCTAGGGCTCACCTGTGTCTCTCCTCCTTCTGGAAACCCCAGCCCAGAGTTGGTGCCTGGTGCTTATTGGAGGAATCCTACTTGCTGATGAGCACGAACACGTGGCACCTGATTCTGCCTTCCATGGTCCTTCTCTTCCCGATCAGACAGGGAGCTTCTTTGCCTTCCGTGACTCGCGCCTTGAGCCCCCTTTCCCGCACAGAGCCATGCACATGCTAGGTGTTCACTGCTATCTTACGGAATGACGCCTGCCCCAGATGGCCGGGAGGGACGGGTGTGGGAGGTCTGCATCTGGTACAGTGGTGCTGCCTGGTTCCTGGGGTTGTGCTGGGCGAGAATAGAAACAGGCTGTTGGTAGCCAAGAGCAGCCTGTTCTCAAGGAGGCCAGCAGAGGGGCGGCAGCACTCTCTGTTATCACGGCTGTGAGCAAGAATGGACCTGACTGGGCACCCTTTCAGCATGGATCCTGAAAGGTTTCTGTCATCACCTTGTCCACTCTCTTTGTAGCCATTCTGGCTCACATCAGCCCCCAGCAGGCCCAGCCGTGGCCCCGCCAAGCCCTGTTAGCAGGGGACAGAAACCTCCAGGTGGACAGTTTGGCCCAGGTTGCAGGAAGGGAGGCTGAAACTGGGGCATTTGAGAAACGAGTTGTGCTGGATGAAACCGGACTGGGTGGCCATGTGCCCAGAGGCGGAGCACCTGCTGTCCCCATGTCCTGTCCTTATGCCTGGAGCCAGTGTGGGATGGCCCAGGCTGGGGCTGGGTCTCAGGGCGGGTAGGGAGGGCACCAGGCAGAGGGATGGTCACATGCTGGTTGAAGTGGGGTTTGGAGGGGAGAGGGTGGAAGCAGCTGGGGCAGCTATGGGATCAGTTGGGAGGCTTAGCCCGGAGCCCCCTTAGGTGACCGCTGTGTGTGGCAACCTCCTGCTCTGGCATGGCCAGCATCTCACCAGGGTCCCCACTCAGTGATTTGGGACAGGAGAAAAGGGAGGAGTAAATATTTTCTAATATCCCTTCCAACACAATTATTTTTTAAAAATATATTTCTATTGATTTTTTTTTTATAGAGAGGAGGAGAGAGGGATAGAGAGCTAGAAACGTCGATGAGAGAGAAACATCGACCAGCTGCCTCCTGCACACCCCCTACTGGGGATGTGCCTGCAACCAATGTACATGCCCTTGACCGGAATCGAACCCGGGACCCTTCAGTCCCCAGACCGACGTTCTACCACTGAGCCAAACCGGTTTCGGCTCCAACACAATTATTTGAAAGTCACGCAATTTAGAAAGTTGACTCTTCTAGGAGGACAGGAGATGGGGTTATGTATGTGTGCTGTGTGTCACATGCAGGAAGAGAAGGAGAGGGTGTTGTGAAACAGAAAAGCAGGCCACGCTTTTCTTTGCAAGGGTCTGGGGTACTGACTCGGGGCCACTCCCCTCAGGGGACTGTGGGGCGGGAGAAAGAGTGCAGGGTCTGGAGGCAGAGAGGACAGGGCTCCAATTCCCGCCTACCCACTGGGAGCTGCGACTCCAGGGGAGGAATGTGCCCTCGCGGGGCCTCATCTCTAACCCGGAAGCCCCGGAGCTGAGCAGTGTCTCCGCTCAGCACATTGCAGGTCACTGGTCAATGGCAGCCATCGCAGTGCCAGCCTCTTTGGCATAGAGGCTCTCAGAAGGGATGTGCTTTTGTGGTTGTGCCTCCACTTTTCAGATCCAGGGGCGGGCAGAGCCGGGAAGATGGATTCAGAGTGGATGAGGCAGCTCTCCTGCCATTGGCTTGTGGGAATTAGGAGGAGTGCCTGCTCCTCCCGGGAAGATGCAAGTGCATTTTCGGTCTTTTCAGTAGAGCAGATAACAATAGCTCCTGGGCCTGTGGGACGGGCCTCGGGAGAAACTCGGTGCTGTTTCAACAAATGCTGCAGCTCAGAAGTGACCTCTCTCCCGTTCCCAGGAAGGGAGGAGGCGGTGAAGATTCCAGGCGACAACCTCTTAGGCAGCCCTGGAGGCGGAAGGCAGCCTGAGCGAGAGCAGGGTGTGCAGCTGATGCCGGTCTTGTGTGGCGACCAAATTAGGACAGCTGGAGAGATGCAGGAACTTGTCCAGTCACTTTTCTTACTTCTGGAAGGCAAAGAGCCAAGGATCAGCCCATGTCCTTGAGTGCATCCTTTCCCCAAGGGTCGGAGAGGAGAAAAAGGAAGAGCCACAGAGGGCAGCAGTGGATCAGGCAACTCAGGGAGAGCCAGATGTAGGTCAGGAGACCTGGGTTGGAAACTCACTTCCACCACTTACTAACCCTGGGTGGTCCCCTAAGCTCCCTGTGCCTCAGAACCTTCACCTGTGAAACACCATCCCAAAAGATGGTTGCAGGCCCGGGAAGGGGTCAGGTGAGCTCTAATTCACTCTAGAATTGTGTAGGGCGAGGGCCAGGGCCAGGGTGAGGGCAAGAATCACACCTGGGGTTTGTGCAGTGTCATGGCTGCCATAGGTAAAGGATGCATTAAAAGCAGTGTATCGTTGGGAAGGGGACAGTTGAAAAGAACTTTGAAAACCTCTCACACTAGAAGTATGTTGATGAGCAAGGAGGGCCCAGTGCTGTAACCTAAGTGAATTGTCCAGAAGCAGGAGACACCACTACAGAGCTACCCACTGTTGCTTTTAAGGCCACAGGAGGAAGCATTGGGAGATTGGAAAGGACCCATGAGGTCCTGGGTGGGGAGAAAATGGCTAGATGGGCAGAGGCTGGGAAACTCAATCAACTGTTTTCACAACCCAGGTTGACACCCATTAGTGGGTTGTGAAGTAGAACTCTTTAAAAAGTAGTTGAGCCGAAACCGGTTTGGCTCAGTGGTAGAGCGTCGGTCTGCGGACTGAAAGGTCCCAGGTTCAATTCCGGTCAAGGGCATGTACATTGGTTGCGGGCACATCCCCAGGAGGGGGCATGCAAGAGGCAGCTGGTCGATGTTTCTCTCTCATCGACGTTTCTAGCTCTCTATTCCTTTCTCCTCCTCTGTAAAAAATCAATAAAATATATTTTTTTAAAAATAAAAATAAATAAAAATAAAAAATAAATAAATAAAATAAAAAGTAGTTGAAATAGACTGTTAGAGAATAGGATAGAAACTATCCAAGTGTATTAATCACAGTTGGGATGAGTGTTGTGACAAAGAGTAGATTAATGGTTACATGTCTGTGCATTCTGGACCATGGACCGGGGTCAGTGGCCTCCCAGGGCTGTGGAGACCCAGCTTGTCCTGGGTAGAGTCACTCCTTTTCTGTGCCTGAGGGCCAGGCCAGAGATAGAGGGTGGGCCATCGTGTCCCCTCTCTGGATTCAGGAGGGTCTTTGATGCCACTTCCTAATTGGCCACTGAGGTCACGTAGCTACAGGGGAGGATCTGCTCAGATGGCACTGGCTACATCTATCAGGCTGAGATTTAAAACATCTCTGGAAGGTTGAACTAATTGTAAATATAAAATTACAACTAATGCCAAAATCGGTTTGGCTCAGTGGTAGAGCGTCGGTCTGCAGACTGAAAGGTCCCAGGTTCGATTCCGGTCAAGGGCATGTACATTGGTTGCGGGCACATCCCTGGTGGGGGGTGTGCAAGAAGCAACTGGTCGATGTTTCTCTCTCATCGACGTTTCTGGCTCCCTATCTCTCTCCCTTCCTCCTCTCTGTAAAATATCAATAAAATATTTTTTAAATAAAAATAATAAAATAATAAAATTACTACTAATGATGGTAGTTTACATTTATTCAAGCACTGCTCTGCGCATCCCCCATGACTTCATCTCATCCAGTCCTCTCAGAAACTCGATGCAGCAGACAGGAACTGAGGCACAGCAGGGTGAAGTGATGTGCCCAGGGTCGCAGTTAGTTAGTAGCCAAGCTGGGATTTGAGCCCAGCAAGTGTGGCCCCAGAGTTTGTGTACATAGCTACTAGGCTGCCCTGCTTTCTGGGTGGAGAGCTCTTCATGGGTCTGAAGCTGACTTGAATCTTAGGTTGGATTATAGTGCTTTGAGGACAAAGATGGACAGGCCACATTTCAAGGGATTTAGAAATTCCACTCTTGTCTTAGAACTGGGCAATATATATAGTATATTTCTTTAAATGTATATTGGTTTTTAATATATTTTTATATGTAAAATACATATATATTTGGGGCTTGCTTATCATATTGTATACCATCATATTCAATAGACTGATAACATTTCTTTTCCTTCATAATCACTGCATTGGCTCCGCATGTAAAGGCGGCTTTGTTTCTGGCAACAGAAATCAAAATAGTGTTGGACATATGAGTTTGATTTGAGATACATGCTGACACCATGTTTAGAGATCATATTAAACTATGTGACTAAGACTGGCAAGTACTGGTGAAGGAAGGCTACTGGCCTGGGGGTCAGAGTGGACCACAAGTGCACAAGCTAAGGCTGTTTTTAAAGCTAAAGGCTGGTGAGCTCTTTTCACCCACAATACGGGTTTGAACTGGAGAGTAATTTTCCCCGTTTGCCAGACATCGCTGAGCCTTGTTGCCAGCACCCTTGCTACGTGGGTTGCAGGCGGTAGAAGCTGGCGTTGGCCGAGTGGAAGGACATGGGCATGGGAAGTGTTTACACATGGAGTGCAGTAGGTTTCTGGATTCTTTTTATAACTTGTACTTGGTGGTTTATAAAAATAAGCCTGTTCCTTCTGCATGAGGCATAATGAGGCCTACAGACAGTATGTGAGATGAGTCGAGCAGCAATGGGGATATTAGGAAAGAGGAAAGGTGCTCTTTGCTCCCTAACCCTTCCCATGATGCCTGCTGCCTTCCCTCTCCCTGCCATGAGACCCCAGCCACACAATTGCCTCTATTAAAGCTGCCATAGCCTTTTCCCTGCACGTGTTTCGCCACCGCTGTGCCCAAATGGTGGACTCAGCTCAACTCGCTTCTCCACACGGATGGCCTCCATCTCAGCATCTCAGCTCCACACGCCAGGGAGGGAGTCCGCGTGGCCAAGTGGCTACCAGATGCAGAGCTGCCCCTCTCCTGAGGGAGTGGGGTTGGGCCTGGCAGGGACAGGAGCGGGGGCGGGGCACACGGCTTGGGTGCCAGAAGCCGACTTAGGTTTGCCTCTGCTCCCTGGTTGGCTGACCTCGTGGGCCTCTCCTGGGGGAAGACACCCACACAGGGACCATGGGGTGGCAGTGGGCTTTGGCTATGATCTGTTAAGCCCCTTTGCTATGGGGTTGAACCCATCTTTGTTCCTGGTGACACGCACTTGGGTACACTGCCACACCAGGCTTGTGGGCAGATGGCATTCCTGGGCCTGAGAGGAGGCAGGGGCCATTTCTTGGAGGCCTGTGGGCTGGGACTGGACAGGGCTGAGGCCCCTGGCTGCCCCCTTCTTCCCTAACTGGCCTGACCACGTGGATGGCCCAGAGGCTCTGGAGGCCTGCCTTGTGCATGCCCCTCTCTCTGTGTCACATGTTGTAGATGATGGTACATACACACATGACCTGTGCCAATTGGTCCCTTTCCAACTGGAACAGGACAAAAACCGCCCCGGGCCTTTGTCCCCTGGAAGGTTTGAATTCTCTGTGTCGGGGAGCGAGCTCACGGGCACAGCAGAAGCGGCAACCTGACCCCTGCCTGTTCCCCCTGCCCTGGCTTCCTTCTGCTGAGCAGGGACAGACACAGGTACCTACTACAGAGGCAGGTTGAGGAAAGGACTGGCACAGACTGGCCTGGGCCTGGGTCCATGCTCTCAGCAGAGCAAGTGATGGGAGGCACAGGGCCCTGGGACGAGGGGCGCTTTCTCTGAGCGAGGTGGTGCCCTTGAGCACAGGGCCCTGGGTGGATGGAGAGGTCCAGGGAGTCCCTTTAGAGGTAACAGCTTCAATCCTTCCACTTCAGCTGTGTGGCCTCGGACGAGCCACCTGTCCTCTCTATTGGTGCTGCTCACACAAGGAATGGCGGTTCTGAGTGATGGGGGCTGGCGACTGTGAGCAGCTCGCATGCCAAGGCCAGCAAAGCCCTCCGGTGACCTTTGCCTCTCCTCTTTGCAGCTGGAGGAGGCGGAGCACTTTGCCATGATGGTGATCGACCGCGGGGAGGAAGCTGGGGAGTTCCTCTCCAAGGCCTACCTGGCGCTGGGCCTCACCTACAGCCTGCAGGCCACCGACGGTGAGTGCCAGGCCTCGGGGCCTCTTCGTGGGGGTGACTCAGGCCTCCTAATGGCCTCTTGTTCCACCTCCCATTGTGTCCCCATTGACTCTTTTGGGATCCATGTGCGTGCACACACACACCCCTCAATCCCATTTCCACTCGTGTCCACTCCTCACACCTCTCAGAGATGCCTTCATCAAATAGTTTTTCCCACCCTTCAAGGCCCAGCCCCAGCTGCCTCTGGGACCCTTTGTAGTGGGTTGCCAGCCCTGAACCCACATTCTAGTTCATTCTAGTTCACCTTTAACCTCAGCACTGCTGTAATCTTCTGGCGTCTTTTGAATCTCCCTCTATGCATGGTGTAGAGCTGGGTATGCAGCAGGTGTTTAATAAATACTTGTACTTGGCAGAGGGGTTTCACTGCTGCTGCTTAGATCCTAGCATTCACTCTCCTACTCTGGCAGCTCAGCTGTGTGTCCCCGTGGATCGGGCAGCCACCACTTCTGTATCCTTGCAGCTTGAGAGAAAGGGAGCGATGGAACCCCCCCACCCTCACCCCACCCCACCCCACCCAGACTAATACTGGGATAGGAATCAGCCCCTGAAAGTACAATAGAGGTTATGGGGGGAGGGGAGGAGTTAGTGTTCAGTGGGTGTATACTTTCTGTTAGGAATAATTAAAAAGTTCTGGAGATGGACGGTGGTGGTGGTTACACACATTGTGAATGTACTTAATGCCACTGAACTGTACACTTAAAATACTATTCTAAAATGGCAAAAAAAAAAAAAAAAAAGAAGAAGAAGAAGAAGCAGCCTCGTGGATAAGGAAGCCCAAGGACGCAGGTGGCCAGGATGGAAGTGGGAATCTCCTTTGAGAGGGTCAGGTTGGCACAGGTGGCAAAGAAGGCAGTGGAGTGGAAGGGCCTGGTGTACCAAGAACCATGCCTGTGGGCTGGGGTCAGGTGGACACCCCACGCCCTCCCCCAGTAACCAGGGCAGTGGGTGGCATCCAGCATTTGCCAGACAGGGCCCAATGGGGCCTCTCCCTGCAGAATGTGTGTGTGCCCTGGGGTGGGGCAGGGCTGGTCGCACCCTCAGCACCCCCTCATGGCTGACTCCATCCTGTCTCCCGCAGCGACTCTGAAATGCAGGCAGGATGAGCTGCACCGGAAAGCACTGCAGACGCTGGAGAGGTAAGGGGGCCCGAAGTGCACGTGTGTGATCTCAGTGGACCCTCTGGTGTAGACAGAGCAAAGGTTTCTGTCCCCATTTTATTGACCAGGAAACCGAGGCTCTGATAGCTCACGCATGAAGCAGAGACAGGCCTTTGGGGTTGGGTGGGCGGTGGGACCTTTCAACATTGGTGGACTCCCTCCTCTGCCCCCCGCTCTGTCCCCAGGCTGAGCCTCAGCCCTCTTGCACTCAGGGTTCTAAAATGGGAATAAAAACCCACTATTGTTGTGATGACTACCTGCGATAAAGCAGGAAAAGCATCTTGCACAGTGCCTTACTGTAACAGGAGCTCAAAAATTCAATAGCTTGAGGACTCCCTATCCATAATCCTCCCAGAGATTTCCTGGCAGCCTCGGGGTCAGGAATGTGGGGGTGGGGAGGGAGAGAGGGGAGGCAGAGAAGACCCTCCCCCAGCAGCGGCCTTCCCGCCCTCAGACCCATCCTGGCTGAGCTCCTGTCTCCACCACAGCCTTGGCTCCTGACCTCCCCCCACTCCTTCCTCAGAGCCCTGTGGGTCTGATCCCGGACCCCCCTAGGGCTGATGTGGAAGCTGCTGGGTACGGACCTTGTGCCAGCTTCCTTGGAGTATGTTGCACACCTAACTCCCTTCCGGGCAGGTTGTCCCCGAACCCAGGGAGACCGGAGAGTCCCATCCTGGGCGCCAGGATGGGGGTCTTTTTCTTCCTTTCTCTGCCGCCTCCACATTCCTGAGGCTTCTTGCCCAGAGAGGCCGTTCCCAGCGCCTCCACCCTTGGGAAGGTTTCCTTCTGTCCTACGTGCAGAGGGCAGGTGCCAGGCTCTGTACAAGACCGCCACAGGGCCCAAGCCATCAATCACCTCCCGGCTGGACACCCTTCCGAGTGGACCCCTGGGGCGCACATGGCATGCTGGAGGCCTGTGTCAGACACTGGTTGCTCAGCCCTTGGCGACTGACTTGGTGCTTCCTTTCCACACACAGAGCCCAGCAGCTGGCACCTGACGACCCCCAGGTCATCCTCTATGTCTCCCTGCAGCTGGCCCTCGTCCGACAGGTGGGTTCCTAATGCCCAGGTCTCTGGGGGCTGCTGATCTTTTTCTGGCACCACTGCTTTGACCAGCTGTGTGACCCTTTGCAAATGACTTGACCTCTCTGAGCCTCTATTTCCTTGCCTGTGACAGGAGCACCTTAAAACTCCACCTCAGAGGGACCTAGTCGGGGTCCAGCACCACCCACAGTCTGCACAGAGGCCAGGTGGAGACCAGGCAGGGGCCGGATACCTCGGGACCCAAGGCCCCCCAGGGAGCATAAGGGGATCGGTGTCTGAAGTTGGATAAGAAGCCAGGCTTTCTAAAAAAAAAAAAAAAAGACTTACAAGGCTCTTGGGAGAATGTGGACAAAGTTGCAGTGGTTGGTCTAAGTGCCACATGCCCCTCACGACTAGAAGGAGGAATCTTAGCTGCCTGGCTAGGGGTCTGGCTTTGAGGGCTGGAAGAAGGAAACACTTTTTCACACATGGGTGGTCCTCGGCCACCGTCATGGCTCTGGCTGTTCTCACTTTGCAGCGTAAGAACGACAGCTCAGAGAGGTGGAGGCCCTTGCCCTAAGGCACCCGCTGGAACAGGGCAGAGCTGGGATCCTGCCCCCGTCTGACCCCATGCTCCTGCCACTGTGAGCCTCTGAGTAGGAGGGGCATTTATCTTTATCTGTCGGCCCCTGTCACTGCATGGACCGGTCCAGAGAAGAGGGCGTGGCTACCTCTAGGTACAGACTGGTGGCCTGGTGGTCCTGCATGACCCCCCATTGCAGCTTAGGAAATGCTTCCCAGCGTCTGCAGATCTTTTGTGCTGCTCCACACACCTGCTCCTCCCACTTCCAAGTGGGGACAGCACAGGCTTCCTGGGCCTGACTTGGGGCCACAGATCCCTCTTGCCCTGTGATTGAGAGGGGAGAGGGGGGGTTCTCATCAGAGCACCAGCCCTGCCCCTCCGTGCCCAGAGCACCAGCCCTGCCCCTCCTGTCCCCTCGATGGCCGGTGCCTGGCACCAAAGTCCTGGAGGGAGGCGTGGGCGCCGGGGAAGGTCACTGAGCTGGCGGCTCTCTCTGGCAGATCTCCAGCGCCATGGAGCAGCTGCAGGAGGCCCTGAAGTTGTGCAGGGACGATGCCAACGCGCTCCACCTGCTGGCTCTCCTCTTCTCCGCCCAGAAGCATTACCAGCTCGCGCTGGACGTCATCAACATGGCCATCACGGAGTACCCCGAGAACTTCAAGTGAGTCCCTGGGGGCACCGCTGGCTGTGGGGCGGGGGGCCACAGATGCCAGATGGTGAAGAGATGGGAGCAGAGCTGTCTTGATGGGAAAACGAAAAGGGGATTCATGCCTCCCCCTTGGGCCCTGGGGGGGGGGGGGGACCTGGCTCTCCCTCAGCTCCTCCCAGCCAACCCAGGGGATGACCTCCGGCCTCCTGCCAGTTCTCCCCATCCTCCCCGGCTCTTGGACTGGGTGAGGAAGCCAGCTTCTCCCCAGTCCTCCCTCTCTTACTGGCAGTGGGTGCACTGTCCACCCACCCCTTTCCTCCAACCTCAGGCGTCCAGTTCTTCCCAGGATGCTTCACTCACTGAGTGTCTTCCTGAGTAGGTGGGGGAGGTGGTCCTTGCTGTGAAGTTGGTGGCTCCCCTGGGAGGCCCGTGGGTGGACTTCTGGGCCTCCATGAAGACCTGGGCCCGAACTCTAAGGTTTGCACTTGCATGCATCCAGGGACATGGCTTTCCTCAGACCCTCAGAGGGACCCTAAACCCCAAAACGCCGTGAAGTCTCGATGCAGACTGTGCTGTAGTCAATCTGTAGGGTAACTGCGCCCCTCTTTGTCAGCTGTGTCCCCGCTTCTGCAGGCAGGAGCCTTCTGAAGGGGCGGCCTCCCAGCAGAGCTCCCGCACCCAGACACCACAGGGCCACTTCTGGGGCCTCAGGGGCTAGGGCCGTGGGGCCAGCAGCAGGGAGACCGCTTTGAGGTCTGAGCCAAGAAGGACAGTGAGTCCCAGCCCCGGAGGCCTCCTCAGGTCTTCTGTTCCTGTATCACGGCAGAGAAGCCCGCTGGGGAGCTTTTGGGGGCCAGAACATCCCATCCCCTGTGATGTCTGCACACTGGGGTATCCATGGGGTGGAGAAGCAGTGACAGGTTCTTGTCTCTGAGCCACCCTGAGCCCATCGCCTCCAGGACCATGCGGAGCCCCAGCTTGATCTGAGCCAGCCCTAAAAGGCTGGAAGAGCAACTGGAAGTAATGTGGGAGCTCTGACCTCCAGAACTGTGAGGGGGCAATCCCTGTTTCTTAGGCAGGAAAAGTAAGTCCATCTTTAAAAAAAGGTGGGGTGGAACGCCCACCTCCCACACAGCTCTGGAGCAACCGTGGCACCGCAGACAAGTCAATACCATTCCCCACAGAGGAAACCCCGGAGCGCAGAGACCCACGGGCTAGCAGGAAATGTCACTGAGTCCATTACCGGTCAGGGATCACTGAAAAATGTCACTGCTCTTCAACGGAAACGGTGTCCTGCTTCTCCAGCTGCTCCCTGCGTTGGGAACAAGCTGCGTGGCTCTGGCTGTTGCCATGGCAGTTAATTAAATGACCGATCCAATAAGTAGCACTGCAGCGAAAAAATAAAAATAAAAATCAAACCCCCTTCACCCTGACGTCAGCCCAACAAGGTCTGTGTACTCGGGGCAAGGGGGGGAGAGGGGGTCTGTCTGCCACCGAGCTCCTCCCCGCCAGCTGTCCCAGGTGGCCGAGGCCTTTGGAGGCTGCAGAGCCTGCCTTCCTGAAGAAAGGTGGGCCAGGCCAGTGTCGGGGCTGGAGGAAGCCTGGCACAGGGGAGGGTGTCGCTGGGTACAGTGGGCTGTCCCCTGGTGAGGCATGCCTGCCTCTTCACCTGTGCCCCTCCAGCAGCGTGTCCCTGCTTCCCACGCCTTCGTTCCCCGTCTGCCAGAGACTGGCATCTGTCCTGCCTCCTCTGCCCCCGAGGTCTGCCATGAGACTCGGCAAGAAAAGGCCTTGCAGTCGGCGTACAACCCTGTGGAGGGACAGCAGGGCGGAGGGGTCTGGGAGGCGGCCACCACAGTGAAAGAGCAGGTGGGCCGAAACCGGTTTGGCTCAGTGGTAGAGCGTCTGTCTGTGGACTGAAAGGTCCCGGGTTCGATTCCGGTCAGGGGCATGTACGTTGGTTGCGGGCACATCCCCGGTGGGGGGTGTGCAGGAGGCAGCTGGTCAGTGTTTCTCTCTCATCGATGTTTCTAGCTCTCTATCCCTCTCCCTTCCTCTCTGTAAAAAAAATCAATAAAAATATATTTAAAAAAAGAAAAAGAAAGAGCAGGTGGGCAGTGCCCTGGCGGAGGGAGCCCTGTGTGTGAGGGAGGGCGGGCAGGGCCGCCGAGTCAGGGACACTCGGTGAAAGACGTTTAAGCGTTTCAGCGGCACAAGTGGCCACTCTTCCCACGGGCAGTCCCAAGACTCCTGGAGGAAAACCCAGCTTTCGTGGAGTTGAACGTTTGAAAATCCTCCAGGATTCAGGGATTAGAAAGCAACGCAAAGAAGACGGTTAATTTCCGTGCTGCGGCATGACCTTTACTTAATGGGGCTTGGGTTTAAAAAGGCAGGACCGTGACGAGGCAGAGACTGATGGCCGCAGGGACAGTGTGAACCTGGCACGGTGGGAACCAGACACTCAGCAGCTTCCTGAAATCCCGAGGGCTTCCGACTAAGCCCTGGACACATGTGCTGGCCAGGCGGGTGCTGGTTAGACTGCAGGGGGCCTCATGGGGGCAGCAGCCACCCTGTTTGGACCTGGTTCTAAGCCAGGCCGGGCTGGGGAATGGGAAAGGGCCCATGTCAGCTAGTCTTTTCACCTGGTCCTGGTGGTGGGAGGCAGCTGGGAGGCCCTGAGGGGAGGGACAGGGATATGGGGTCAAAGGGAACTGGGCCCTGATAAGTGTGGTTCCTGAAGCCCAGGGCTCCTTGGGGCTCTGGTTTTAGGTAACAAGATTCCTTGTGCTTTAGTCAGGCTGCTTGTAGTGAAAGTCGCCATGGTAACCAAACAACATTCCTGGGCTAATGATGGGAGCTTTCCAATAACCAGCCTGTCACTCACGGCCCCCACCCCAGGCCTGGCAGCCTGCCAGACGGGTTTTGAAAGCCCAGGCCATAGGGCTGGACGCAGAGGAGCCAACTGGCTTGCCCTGCCCAACTCCTCAATGCCAAGGCCGCCTCCTCCCACCCCTGTGGATCAGGGCAGGCCCTCGCGGGAGTTTCTGCCCAGCCACCTCAGGCTCAGGGGGACTTGAAAGGTCCTGGGGGAAGGTGTGTCAGGGCCCCAGGGCACTCCCCCGGCACAGGAACAATGTGGCCCTCTGGACAAGCCGCTGCTCGTGCATGTAAACAAATGGAACCATCAAAGCCATCTCCCCAGAGAAACCTAAGCTGTTTTGGAAAATGTTTGAGCTGATAACTAGGCGTTGGCTGAGGCCAGACCTCAGCCTTCTCCGGTGAAGGCGAACATCGGCCCCAAGGGCACCTCTCTGATGTACCTGGCCTGCCTCACCTTTTTCTCGGGTGACACGTGACGTGTTTGTAGGGGTGCATGTCAGGGTCCAGATCAGAGTCCTGTTAACATTTCTGACTTAAACCCAGTGTGCTTATTGGATGGATCCCATTAGGGACTTGCAGAAGATCAAAGGGACACGTGAAATACCAGCCTGCCCCTTGAGAAGGCTGGAATCGGAGGTATGAGCACAAACCTACTTTATCGAGTTGCTGCACTCAGTAAACATGTTTGGCTGCTGCAGCCCCGCTGAGGACAAGAGCCAGGGCGTACACCTGTGGGCCGTGTGGCCGAAGGGTGTTAAGCCAGGCATAATCACTGGCACTGGGCTCTGTCCCCAAAGGTCAGTTCCTCATCGCTCAGCTGGCTTGACATTCAGCGTCTCCCTCCGCTGGCTGTTCCCTGCAGCCGCCTGTGATCTCGCTCTGTGTGACCCAGCAGTCACACTGTCCTCCGTCTCTCCCCGGAGGGGGCTGCTTACGCTCAGACTTGGGGGGCGGAGGAACTTTTGTTTTTTGTTTGCGGAGGGGAGGACCGAAAAGAAAGAGGTGTTTGCAGATTTTTCCAAAAGGAATTCTTTTGTTCTAAATCGGCTTTTAGTCCTTTGCTTCCTGACTCCTCCATCTGAATCCGGGCTGAGACAGGCACCCGGGCCCAGGGCACCCCATTTTCTAGCAGCAGGGGCCCAGCCCCGAGAGTAGAGTGGAGCTGCCTTCCCCCATGCCGGGGGTGGTCTCAGGCCCCAAGGGTCTGCTCGCTGCGCAGAAGTCGTTACCAGGACCAAGGTGTTTGCTTCTCGGTGCCTTGTACCTGGCTGGGAGCCTCGCTTCGTTCCCCAACGGCTGTGGAATGGCTCTGGGTGATGTGTTCGTATCCTTCACGGTCGTGAATTCGTGTCTGGAGAGTCATGGGGAGGTGACCGCAGGCGGCCTGCAGCTGGGAGCAGTGGGCCTGTGGGCATCAGTCAGCGGGTGAGGCGGTCTTGCCGTCCAGCCAGCCACGTCCTCCAGATGAGCGGGTCTGGGAAGTCAGGGGAGGCAAACTCCAGAAAGCAGAGCTAACAGGCTGCTGGTTTGTAACGCTTCAGTTAGATCAGCGGTCGGCAAATCGCGGCTCACAAGCCACATGCGGCTCTTTGGCCCCTTGAGTGTGGCTCTTCCACAAAATACCGCGCGCACGGGCGTGCACATACAGTGCGACTGAAACTTCGTGGCTCATGCGCAGAAGTCTGTTTTTGGCCTGGGCGAGTCTATTTTGAAGACGTGGCATTAGAACACTCAAGGGGTCAAAGAGCCGAGGTTTGCTGACCACTGAGTTAGATCACAGGGAATGAATTTATTAGGTGAGAGATCAGCATGGGCCTTAAGACACCAGGGGGCATGGGACAGTGTTACCTTTGGTTTTTAGGGCTAGGAAGAGCTGCCATCGGGGTCGCATTGGGGTTAGTCCATAGGAAGGTACCAAAGCCGAGCCTGGCTATGGCCTTCTCCCTCTCCTGCGGGAGGTTTGAGAGCACCGTGTGAGATGGTAATCAGTTTAATTGCCCTGGTGGAGTCTGTCCTGGAGCCATGACAGAGGCGCCTGGGAGACCCGTGTCCCTCAGTGATCCCTGGTATTTCTTGGGGGCCCTGTGACTGCCCGGTGATTACAGCCTGATGGGGCCGGGGGCAAGGGGCCG